ATATAGAGAGAGAGAGAGAGAGAGAGAGAGAGAGAGAGAGAGAGAGAGAGAGAGAGCGGATGCATGCACCGTCAATCGTTAGTCTGTAGTCTGTTCTCTATTCTATATTCTCTCTAGATATTCCCTTCCCCGCCCTCCTTTGTCTACTCTATACTACGCATTACTAAGTAGACCCCCCTCCCCTTCACTCCAACAACTTCATCTGATCTGATTCTGACAGAAACCCTTGACGGCCGCTCTTAAGTGGGTCAGGGGACCCACTTAGACACACACACACACACACAATCAATCCTCTTTTTCCCTTTTTCATATCTCTTCTTCTCCAGACCCCTGTCCCACTTGCTTTCTTTGGCAGGTCTTGGCCTGATACCCACCCACCCACCCGCTGTACACGCACTCTGCTTGCTCTGTCTCTGTAGCCTCTGCTGAAATCCATGCGAAGCCTTCCTGATCTCTTACGGTCTGCTCTACCACTGTGGACTGGCTATGGATGGAGTGCACGCTATCGCCGACCCTCAGAATCATCTTCACACCGCTCCTGAAAAAAAAAAAAGAGCCAGTCGCTCATCCCAGAATCGCAAGAGTTAAAAGGTCGAAACCAAAGAGACCGATCATCGTCCACTGTCCACTCCATAGGAGTCGCATAAGCCGTAGGCCTCTTGCCAGAGGTGATCATGCCAGCAGTCCGACTTTGGAGGTCCCGGATACGCGATCCGGAGCCACCTGCCCAGCCTCATCAATTGCCGAACAATCGATCGGGGGTCTGCGTAGTTCTCTCGCTAGCCTAAACCCTAAACCCTAATCCTTCTCGATGGAAGATGTGGTGGTGTACCGAATGCTGCGCGCCGACACTCGTTCTGTGGAAGAACCCCTCCGGTTCTGCGGACAGCACCGAGGACCAGCACCGAGACCAGAACCGTCACCTCTCCTCCGTCCCAGGCCCCGGAGCCTTCTCTCGCCGCTGGGATGGGAGTGGAGAACGGCCAAGGTATCGGCGGCAGTCCATCGTATTCCCCGGAGACAGGCAGTCACGCCGGTTTGGGGAGGTCCCGTGCCGTTCCAGAGCGCTCTGCGAGTCTGTCATCCCCGAACGGACGCAGGATCTTGCCGTCATCCCAGCATGGTCCCGGGGAGGGCCAAGGGGCTGTTCCTGTCCTTGCGGTCCCGGCTTGTGCTCGAAGGTTGGGGAAGGTGGCTGGGAGGAGATGGAGGTCTCTCTGATTGCGGCTATACTATGTAGGTGTCAGTCTTTCAGTCAGTCATCCTTCTCAACCGTCCAGGGGGGCGCGAGGCCTTGCCGTGGACGAGTAACTCGCATACTGTGCCAAACAACAGAGCCACAGAGGCTGTGCCAACGTAAGACGAGAGAGCGAGTACGGTTAGACGCCGTACGCTTGCGTCAGACGACGAGTCTGCCTGGGGCAGTGGGGTAGTGAGACAGGTGACGAGGTCCTGCGTATAGAGGCGTGGTGGAGGGTTATAGTGATGAGGGGACCAGTGGCAGGCGTATCTATCTATACTGAACCGCTGTCCTCTCCCTTGATGGAATCGGGGTGAGTGGAGTGGGCCTTTTCGGTATCTCGTCACAGGGTACAGAGAGAGAAAATGTATCGATGTATGTGGAGATTCTATTACTTAGTAACAATTCGTATCTAAAATTAGCACCTAGTCTCGGGAACTGAAATGCTCCTATTTATTTGTGACTTGTAGATAGCTTTTTTCTTTCTTCGAATAAGATCGATATGATTACTCTAGCTAAAGACCTATTTGTATACGCATCATACGTGCGTTACACAACGGGACCCCCAGGAGCCAGTTATTATGCATGTGTAGGTGAAAGTGAAAAAAGACGAAGGAATCATTGCAAACTGTATGCTTCCTCGCCCTCCCCAAAAACAAGAATCCAAAGATCCTGTTCGATTTCCTCGGGCTCCATTTGGAATCTGAGTGCTCTAGCAGCGCTTGTAAGAAACGGATATGTCGTGTGTCCGCACGCGTCAAACATAGGTCGTTTGTTCTACAAGATTATTGGTTAATTTGCTGAATCCTTTCTTCGACCCGTCTAGACTTACCCATGGGACAGTGTCTGCATAATCCTGAACAGCAGCGTACAATTCTTCAGCTTCCTAAATGTAAATTCACGTTAGATCCTCTTTCTAGGGATCAGAGTATTTCTGACGTACCTCGTCGTCAAGAAACGTATCTGGGTACCAGAGCCCCGATTGTCTCGCCAAGTCAGAACGCTGCCGTTCAATTTCGGCATCAGGGACAATATGTCTCTCTCGATCAGTCTGCCAATATTTTAACGACAGCTTCAATTATAGGAGGATATATGCATAAATATTCAAGTACTGACCTCATCCATTCTTTCCCCAACCTGGAAGTAGTAGTCTTCAAATATCTCCGCCAACCTGATAGCTGTGCTTGGCATTCTATGAGTGATTGCCGACGAATGTGATGCACCACCTGTGAAAATTGGCTGAGCCGTGTTCCTGAAGAACTTGTTCCATGGGGAACCAAAGGACTGCTTGCATGGATGCCAGTAAGGAGGACGGTCCCACTTTCCGTTAATACGGACCAAAAGATGACGGCCGTTTGCAGATAATTTTGTTTCCTTTGGCAATGCTCCGAAATCATTCCCTGGCCCACGTGTGACGTCTAATTTACCAACACGGGAAACACGCCAAGCGCACCTGAGAAAAGTCTTGACATCCAGATCCCCAGGGACAGGTTTTAAGTTGGAAGGTGTGGTTTGAAACTCATCGCCAATAAGGTAAGCGGCAAAGATCATGGACGTGGCGGCGCTGGAAATGAGCACAGCTTCTTGTAGCTTTGTGTCCTCAGGAGGAGTCCAGTTTTCTGCTGTCAACATCATTGAAAGGAGGCCGAGATTTCCACATCGCTTCATGTCGCTGTTTTGTGACACTCTGATATACGTGTCGCGGGAAAGGTATGGAGAGGCTGCTGCATACCACAAAGATACCATGGCTTTGACAAATGAAGAAGGACTTTGGTAGACTTTGGTTCCAAGGGAATGGATTCTGCTCAAAATTGGGTTTTGAGGGGGTTGGTCGTAATGGTCCAGAAGCTCCTCTACAGCGAAAAGAACATCTTCAGATATGTCTAATAAGATATGTTAGAAAAGAACAGTAATGATCCTTGAGTTCGTAGCCCAGACCATGGATACTGCAAACATGGATCGGACATCTTGAAAGATGTTGCTGTAAAAGATCTTCTCTGATATCTTGAATGAAACAGGGAGGTTTCTTAACAAGCATGTGTGGCTCCCAAAGAGATTCAAATTGGAGGAGGCTTTCCATTTTGAAGCTTTAAGAGGCTGATTTGGAGGATGTGAGGTGGTAGTTTTGAAGTTGTTGGAAAATAGGAAAGCATTTTTTCGAGAGGAAATACTGAAGCTGACGACTGCTGAAAAAAAGAATCCATTGGAAAGAGAAAAAAAAGAAGCAAAGAGCCAGTGACTGCTGCATCTTTGGTAGCACAAATTCAACAAGCTGCAAAATGAAAAATTCCTGAAATGTGACAATGGTCACATGCGAATCTGGACATCTAATTCTCAAATTGTTAGTATTGTTTTCATTACATTGTTTTCTCGAAACGACGATAAGACCTTCAAATTTGATGACTTCCTTGTCTTGATTTCCCCAAAGCGAACTCTTCAAATTCTTCAACGCTCATGATGGAGCCACACATCCCATACCAGCCTCCCAGCACACCTCTTGACATCCCCATTACCTTTGTGAAAAGCAACAGCCAGAGGGATTTGCATATTTTCGTTCCTGATACATTTGAATGGAATTTTGTCCATGAGATCACCAACAACTTCAGGTAAAGTTCTCTTGTAAAGTACCTGGTAGGCATCTAATCTAACTTGACCAGCCAGAGGATCCAGCAACAGGTCAACGTGTACCACGACAGAGTTCGCTAGAAGTTCCGCCTCTGTCCAGTATCGACTGACGAAGGGGATTATGGGCTACTCCTCTTCACATCCAGTAAGACAGCATAAATAGGAACCAGAAGAACGAGGCTAACAGCTATACAAACCCGCCGAGGCCAAACTCTCCGCTAGTTGAAGACGTCAATAACAATCAAAGCAGCACCTTGGACAACCTTGAGACTGCTCAAACCCACATCCCGAGGCCCCCAAATAGTTGGATTCTTTACCGGCAAGCTAAGTCCAGAGAATTGCATGATGTATACTCAACTGCCACTGCACCCGAACTTTGTAAGTACATCCCATGTTTTGCATCAAAATTCAAAACTAATTGTCACAGCAAAAATAATTGCAAAGATGTGGCACGAGGAACCCCCAGAAGTCCTTCAATTTTGGAGGGCAAGAGCCGAGGAAGAAGAAAGATCTCACAAGAAACGATACCCTGGTTATAAGTACACCACTAAAAGGTCAGCGGGGCAAAATCAAGGGTGAAGCCTATTAGAAGGGAGTAGTATCATTTCTCCACGATCTGGCAATACTACATAAAGCCTTGGTAAACAAGTGGAAAAGAAAAGGACGTCAAGTATGTGGCTACTAGAAGATAAATAGACGGACAAAGTGTCAAGAGTGTCAAAAATACAAGTAATATCCCGTGTACCCTATCCCCTCCCTCGTACGAACATTGTCACGTTTTAGGTCTACGACATGCTCCATCCACGGCTACTCTGTATTATTGCTGATAGGGCAACACTAAGAAGGCAAGAACACCCCCGAATAAGCTACGAGAATCTATAGAACAAGAAGTATAGTAAGGAGACGTTATATAAAGCTAAGGCCCGCTAAGAAAATAAGTAGGATAGGGATCCAGAGAAGAAACAAATAGAATAAGGAGATAGAAAAAAGGAAGAAGCAGTTATATGTATGTGAGCTAAGGGACCTACTCGGGGCGACCATCAGGGGCTTTTATCAGACTCAGATCAGATGGGGTTGGAGTGGAGGAAGAGGGAGGGGTCTCGATAGAGTAGATGAAGGGGGGAAAGGGAATTTCTAGAAAGGACGGACCAACGATTGACCGTGCACGAATCTTTCTCTCTTCTTGAATAAGAAGCGAGAAACGAGTAGCAGCCCATTATTTCGGGCCCGCCAAGAAATTTCGTTCTCCCACACTCACCTCACCTCGTATATGTACCAAGCACACTTCCCGCTGTGCTCGAAAAGGTGCCTTCTTTTCTTGCTAATCATCACTCTTTTTTAATTTTCCTTCTTCTTCCACAATGAACTCGCCCGGAAATTCTGTTGATGTTCATCGAACCATGGCTACTAGATCCAACCTCATCGAGCGTCTGTCAACTGCCTCAGCAGCCGACTTGCTTGAACTATTGGATGACGAGCCTCTTTTTAGTCTCGCCGCTCGATACTTTCAAAGATTCCCTGAAACCAATTCCGGCACCTTTCAATCTGCCAGTCAGGCCAAGGAATCTATTGCTGAGCCTCCAAAAGACAAAACCAAACGGCCCCTCAACGGCTTTATGGCCTTCCGCAGTAAGTTATTTCACACATACCAAATCTTATAGTCACATCTAACTTCTAAACGCAAGGCTACTACATGAAAATATTCCCCGACGTTCCACAGAAGTCCGTCTCTGGCTTCCTGACGACTCTTTGGAACCAAGACCCGTTTAGAAACAAGTGGGTGCTGGTCGCCAAGGTCTACTCGTTCATTCGGGACGAGGTTGGGAAAGACAAGATTCCTCTCTCGCAGTTCCTGGGAATAAGCTGCCCTTTGATGAAGATAATTTCACCTTCCGCCTACCTCTCAACCCTTGGTTGGCGTGTGGACAATCAAAATGAGAAAGGGCAACACCTTGTCCGCTTCGACCCAGCAGCCAGCAACAACGTGGCAGACATCCAATTGCAAAATTGCCCAAACACAGAGCTGGACCTCCTCGCCTTAGTCCTCGATTTTGGGTTCCTTCCCGCTGAAAGCTTTGGGCTCATGCAGAGGATGGGGGCCAACAGCAATCCAATCATGACTGCGGACACTGGAAACACTACTCAGCACGTTGTTCCCTGCACCATTGAGAAACTTGACTTTCTGTACACCGTTCATAAGAACCCATCCAAGGCGGCAAAGGACCTTTTGGGAGAGCATTATGTCGACTGCATCATGCAAGACTCGGGGTACAGAGTTTATGATGTCCAAGACCTAAAGCAAATCGACCACATTTCCATGGTCCCTCCCAACGAACCAAGCTTCTACCAATACGGTACAACCCACGCACATTTCAACATGAACAAGGAGCCTATTTTCGAGATCAGTAACATTCCAGATCACAGGTGTTATGATATTAGTAACTCTTATGACATGGATTCTATTGCCGGCTTTGTGGAGCCGCTTGGGAAGTACAGTAAGTCAAAGCTTACCTTCTTCCGCAGATGTTCATTAATTAACTATTTGTCTTCAGCTTACGGGTTTTCTGACGATAGTCCGCCTTTCTCCGCACATAATGATTTCCAGCTCATGTTTTGAGAGAGCGTGATGGATTGATAGACAGGCATGGACAACTGGCACAGGGCTTTCACAAGCCTCATATGCCTCATACGTAATATGGGCATATCTAAATTGGCGTTTGACTTTATAAACAGTGGCAAATTGCAATAAATCTTCTACATTTACGTGTCTATCCCTAATGATTGCTTTCTGAGAGCTTGTAATAGTTTTGTGTCGTTATTTAATACAGTAGCTAACACTCGCTTTGTCTCGTACAAGACTAGTAGTAGTACCAGTAGTAGTACTAAAAAAAACGGCTAAGAAGCCATATACAACAAGTGTCAACAACCCAAAGACATGGAAAAAGTGACAGCCGTTTACGGTCCGGCTGGCTGGTGTCGTGGTGCCTGTCGAAAAAAAAAAAAAAAAAAAAAGTGCTGCATCATCGACTCCAATCACTGCTCCAGATAAATGTGCCACACCTCCACTCTGATCCCTTTTCTTTCTCACCAGAAGGGCCCAGTGGCCTTGGACAGATGTAGAACGATCGACCTGATGACACCCAACGCCACTCACAGAGAACGACCAACGAAGTAGATTAGCTTCCTACAAGATAAAAAGAAGAAGGGGGGGCGTGTCCTGATAAAAAGGGAAAGAAAAAAGTGGAATGGTGGGGGAGGGGGTAGAGTGGAGAAGGACGGGGGATGGKGGGGGGGAGGGGTTGTGACTTGGGAAAAATTGAGAGAAAAGTGAATTCAAGGTGAGTTGAGAGAGACAAAAGGGAAGAGAGGGTGGGGCGCACGTACCACAATTGATACCAGGCTTTTTGGTGACAAGGCTGATGCAGGGTTCACCATGGTGTTCGCATCGGGGAACGACCCGTTTGCCCAGCAGCTTTGACCATGATTCTTTGGCCTCTATAGGGTCGAAGACGCGATCATCCTCCTCCTCCTCCTCCTCATCCTCCTTCTCGCAACCACCACCACCACCGCCGCCGTCGCCGCCATCACCTTGGGTGGGGACCACGCCGTTCTGGGGTCGTCGTCGTCGACCGCCCTCGCTGTCGGCCTCGCTGCTGACGACCGCTTGCGTGCCCAGGCTTGGAGAGCTCTGGTCGGCGGCAACGTTGTTGGTCTCGTCATCATCGTCGTCCTCATCATCGACACCACCACCACCACCGCCGCCACTGCTGGGACCCTCGCTGGCGTTGGTGTTGGTTCCAGTGTTGGCCGTCTCACCCGCGTCTGCATCTGGGTCTGTCTGTGCATCTCCCTGTGCAGGCACTCGCACTCGTGCATCTACATCCGCACATGTCTTGGCCGTTTTGGTAGCATCGGCGCCCACCCCAGTCCCCGCTCTCGCTTTAGCTCCAGCTCCAGCTCCAGAAGAAGGGCTGAAACCAATAGTAGAAGCCGAGGCATTCTTGGGCTTGAAGAATCCCTGTATGCTCCTCTGCTTGGGACCTGGCGTCGTGGCCTTCGCTCGGTTCGTATCGCCTCCCACTTCCGCACTCGCCTTGGCCCTCTTCGCCTTGACCGGTGATGTTCTGTCACCTGATGCCCGTGCCCTCTTTGTCCACTGCAGTCGCACCTTCGCATCCGGCACGCCAGTGGCGGAGGCGGCAGAGTCGGCGGCGATGCCTGCAGCCCCATATCCTGAACCAACCCGCTGGGATGCGCCCTGACTCGCTTCTTCCGCCTCCACTCCCCCTCCTCCTCCTGCTGCTGCTGTGCCCTCCTGCCCGCCCCTGTCCTTGTCCTTGTCATCTTCTTTGATGCGCCTCTCGCCTGATGTGATATTGGCATATGCGTGGCGGGTCGAGGGCGAAGGCGCCCGTGTAAGCGACACGCTTGGACCGGTTGCCGGCGACAATGATGGTGATACCACTGTTGGTGCTGATGGCGGGGCTGTCGTCTTCTTGGTGAACATGTCACGGATACTCCGTCGCTTGTCAAACTCCGGGATAAGCTTAGCCGACAAGGGGAGGAGATGCCGCTGGCTCCATTCTATTTGACGCCTCCCATCCTTGAACATGCCAGGGGGATTCACTAGATCCAGTAGCCACGACACCTCCTCGCTATACCCATGCTCGCCCCAATCCCTACCCCTGTTTCCGTCACCGTGCTCGTGTTGCCCTTCGTGCTCCCTCCCATGTGCATACGCATGCACATGCTGTCGGTCGTTACTGACGGTTCTGTCGCTGCCGCCGTCGCTGCCGCCGTCGCTGCCGCCGTCGCTGCCGCCGTCGTTTCCGCTGCCGCCGCTGTTGCTGTCGCCACCACCATTGCGTCGCCTCGCTGCGATCCCGTTTGCGCGCACAGTGACACTATCTGCCATGGTGCCGTATACCGGACAGTGGTCCGAGCCCATCAGACCCTCTTGGATGTTGGCATCCACGAACCAGCCCTTGAGCCCGTCACTGCACAGCACGTAGTCTATCCGGCTCCCGTTGTTGGCCGGACGTGTATTCCTCCTCGTATCCCAGCAAGTGTTCATCCCCTCCCGGTCCGGGTGGAAGCATCGGCAGATGTCCCAGAGCACACCTTCCTCTCTGCCCTCGTCCCGCGGGCCCTGGACTGAGCCCTCAAAGATGAGGTGATTGAATAGCCGCCGAGACGGCGTCGACAGCCACTCCCCGACGCTCACACCTGCTTTGCGCAGCTGCTCCCCCATGTTGGTCGAGTCCAACTCGGATCGGATCACGTTGAGATCCCCGGTGAGGATCACCTCCTTGCCCATCGCTACCAGGTTGCGTACCCTCATGTCCAAGGCCTCGAGATATCCCAGCCGGAAGTCGTCGCGAGACTCGTCCCGGTTGGCAGGGCTGTACACCCCCAACAGGACAAAGGCTGGGAACTCTAGTATGACGCACCGTCCTTCCGAATCCAGCGTCATCTCGTCCACCACCCCTGACAGCTGCCCGGCTCGTGGGTACCCACCGATCTGTTGGTCCTCTGGCAGATCGCGGAAGCTGACCGTCGACTTGGGCGCTGGAAGGATCCCCGTGATTCCCTCTTCAGCGCGTATTGGTGAGCACGTAGCATTCCGAGTAAATATCGCCACACCGGAATATCCTGTGCCTTCCGTCAGCTTTTTTTTTTTTTTTTTTTTTTTTTTTTTTCAGTGCTTCAGCGTCTGTAGACTTCCCATCCGAGGCAGACCCGGCAGGATTTTCTTTTTTCTTTTTTTTCGTACCCTTCTTGTGGCGCGGTAGGCTAAAGTACACGTCCCACCCGGGAACGAGCACCATGTCATCGCGTAGGTCCTTTCTCTGTATCTTCGTCTCTTGCATCACAACAATATCGGCTTCGAGAATCTCAAACATATCCTGACGGAAGTATTAGTTGGCTGCACCGGGCTTTGTCTCTATGATACCAATGATCAGTTTACCTGAAAGGTGCGCTTTTCGCACCATGGCTGATACGAGAAAGGGTTTCTTCATGACATGTGAGTACCGTTCATGGTGCGGTGAAGTTGGAGTCATGGAGGAGGCAGAACAAACCTGATGCCGTTGACTAGAGAGGACTGTCAGCACCACCACGCCCATAGATACAGAATCGCCGAGAATGAGACATACCATTCCATGTGGTTATTCGAAACCCCATGATGACTATGGAAGGCTTATTACGTAGATGGTCATACAATTCTGCACAAGTGAAGCTTTCACCTACCAACGACGGGGAGCCATGAGCGTGTTTGGTCGTATCTCGGCATGCAACCCTCCCTGCACACAGAGCACGGGTGGTAGAATGCGACAAGACAGATGGAAAGATGAGGAAAAAAAAGCCTCAGTGCAACAAGAATTCAAACAGCCTGCCTTAAATCACTTCAAGCTGACGTCTTCGATGAAAGCCGTGGTCGTGATGACGAACAGGCAGGCGCGGCCATACCGCGAAGTCACGTGACTAACCGGAAACAGGACGGACCAATAGGAGCCTTGATTATCAGGCAAACCACCGGAACGGCCAGTCTTCCGGTCAGCAATGACCTCAAATCATTCGGCAAATCCTCAATTCTTTGCTCTCCGTCACCACCACCACACCACCACCAACCGCAACAATGTTCTCCGCCCGCATCGCTCGCGCTGCCCCCCGTGCTGCCGCGCAGGTTCGCGCCCCTGCCCAGCGCCGCTTCGCTACCGACGCCACCAAGAACGAGTTCATCAATGAGCGCGCTCACCAGAAGGAGCACGCTGGTCAGACCACTGGTACGATCAGCCCGCTTCTCCCACCTCCCCCCCCCCCCCCCCCCCCCCCCCCTGGGCGGAGATTCAATTGAACCGTGGAAACCGATTAATTACTGACATTATCTTTCGCAATAAAGAGCTCTGGAGGAAGATCTCCCTCTAGTATGTTTTTACATCTTAGTTTTCCCCCCTCAGGCCTACCCGGCCCAGTTGAGCATATTTCCATCGTACCCGGCTCCGCCCGCTCGCCCGCACCGCCCCATACGCAGAAGGGAAAAGACGACTGTCCTGTCCTTGATGGCTAACCTTCCACTAAAAGCGGTGTCCCCGTCGCCCTCATCGCCTCTGGCGCCAACGCCTACTACCTCTGGGAGGCTCACTGGGACCACTGGAACCACATGCCCCCTCTGCCCGAGCGCACCGAGTACGCGTACCAGAACATCCGCTCCAAGAACTACCAGTGGGGTGATGGTGACAAAGTGAGTTTCTGTTCTACCTTCTTACGGGGTGGAAGCGATTGTCTTGTTTATTCCGAAGAATCCAACGTTGCTGACCTTTTCTCTCTCCTTCGCAGACTCTTTTGTACGTTTCTACTACTACCCCCTAATCGATTTCGGGTGGCCAACATGCGCTACCCTCCCCATGTTACACTTTCCCCGAATTGATTCAAGGAGATTCACTAACCTCTTTTGCAGCTGGAACGAGAAGGTCAACTATCACCGCAAGGACAAGTCTTGAATATACCCCATACCTGTAACAGGCAATGGACCTGAACGGTTGCTAGAACATCTCTTCCTGGAGGACTTACTGTACATGTCATTAGGACAGCCACTTGAATTAAGATTTCTTTTGTAATTCATACCGTGATGTCGGCGGGCTCTGCTCTCCTGTTCTCCCCTCTTCTACCTTCCGATATGCGCCGAAAGAGTCCTTATTTGATATGGGGCCATGTGATTACGACCCAGCTACGGCTCATTAGCATTGAAAACTACCACCACCCAATTCCATAAAAAATCATGACAGATTAGATACTTGAAACATAGGATAAAAGTAAGAGCTAATTGAGACTTTGTGTTAGTGCTTCGAATGTGGCAGCTTTCTGCATCTTGAGATGACACCAAAAAAATATTCACGGTTCGCCGAGGAAACTCCGACAGAGTCTCGCTTTCACACATCGACGCGTCTAACACTCGACAACAACAAGCTAGGGTCCTTTCAACACATGATGCCGTAGAGCAATGATCAAACTTTCTCGAAAGATCAATAAGACTCTCGAGGCCCAACTCCGGTAGCATTTTTGAAAGAAACTTCGTGCCGTCGGGCGTCATGAGCCTGACGACTTATCATCACTGAGCCCACTGCCGCGAGACAAGGGCGGCGGGCACACGGCCTAAGCACCGAATACGCATCTGGAAGCTCCTAAGAGAGGGGACACACGATGGCTCGGTACCTTACTCCAGCTAAGATCGGGCTGCTAGCCCTCATCGAGCTCTACACAGAGGATGCAGTCCCCAGCGACGCCATCCACCCAGTCCTGTCCTTCATCACCTCACATCTGCTGGACCGCGACCCTAGCATGGCAGCGTTGACGCGGACAGACCGATGGGGAAAGGTTGAGAGGACGGTCGGTCTGATCATCGACATCAAGGATTTCGAGAAGCTCCTGGGCAGCTACCCCTTCCTCCTGGGCGTTCCGGGCAGGCGCCTATGGGACCAGTTCCTCGTCAAGCTGTGGGACATCAACTCGCTCGACGCCATGCACACATTCATCGAGAACCTGTCCAACATGCTGGCCAAGTCCAAGCTGGAGCTCCGCAGGGAGGCTGGTGGACGGTCACCTGAGCCGGAACCGGGCATCAGGCTGACCAAGAACTCCCTGTTCGGCGCCTTCATCCGGAGGTCCAAGGTCGAGCTGGACAGGCTGCGGTGGAACGATACGACGGACCTGTGGAGGGATTTTGTGCGGTACCGCCAACCGACCGCTCAGTACTTGAAACGGAGGAAGCCCGGATTCAGCCGCCTAAGCTTCGACAACGTTCTTCTCGTTGGCGAGCAGGAGGGCTGGGACGCCGAGGGCGTCTCGGCTCTCGCGTCGGTGGCCTACGGTGATATGCTGTCCGGTGATCAGACGGGTACTCTGCCCGTCAGCACGGACGATATTGAATCTCTACTGGAGTTCCAGATCGACCAGATTCAGAGTGAGGCGAGCCCCCTTTCCCAAACATGAATGCTGTTGTGCTGAAAGACATACAGGATACGGGAGCAGGGTGCCCCTAGAGATCCGAAACCAGTTTCACGATTTGCTCCATGACAGCTTCGTCGTGCCGAGTCTGACGCATTACCTTCAGTAAGGAACATTTCCTTCCCGGCATTATATGATGACACGGAAGACTGATATCACTGCAGCTACTTAGATGCCTGGAGAGCCGGCGACTACTCGACGGCCTTCGACCTACTCCACCGATACTTTGACTACACCATGCAGAGCCGGGATAGGCTCTTCTACCAATATGCACTCATCAACATGGCCTCCCTTCAGGCCGAGTTTGGCTGCTACAAGGAAGCTGTGGGAGCCATGCTCGAGTCAGTGACGACGGCACGGGAGAATCGCGACATGACAAGTCTCAACTTTGCCTTGAACTGGCTCTTCCACTTTGATCGAGCACACCCGGATCTCGTACGCGATCTTGAAACTAACAGCTTGCTTGGAACGGGTAAGGAAAGCCTGGCCTTCCTCCGTGTCAAGGCCAAGGAAACGCGGATGTGGCCTCTGTGGAGCGCTGTCTTGCTCAGTGAGGCCAAAATGGGGCTCTCCAACGGCGACAGCATCCCGACAGCCATGGAGTACATAGTACGCAGTTCGCAGATCGTCATTGACAAGAATATGAAGGGCCTCTTTGGTGCACAGCTCTCGTTGAGCGCGGCGCTCTGGAGCAGACTTGGCCTGACGCACATGTCCGCTATGACCAGCGAGGTCTTCCTGCGGTGCCACACCCATGAAGCGAACTTTGACGATGAGTTGAAGCTCACTTGCCGTCTTGCGCTGATGCTCTCGAGCAAGGGCCATTACGAGGCGGCTCTTGGACGCCTCGACAGCCTTGATGAGAACTCACTGAGGTACTGGAAGGCCAGTCAATACTGGTACAAGTGTAGGGGTATCGTTAAGCTCCAACGAGACCTGCGGCACAACAACCTCGACGGTGCAGAGCAGCTTCTCGACCAGCTACTGCAATCGAAGCACGACGACACAGAACCCGACGCTGCTTACCATATCGACTTTCTCCACCTGGAATGCCTCACACGACGCGGTGATCTGCAGACAGCCTTTGAGAAGGTGGCGACCATGCTGGCCAAGCAGCAACGGGACAACAAGGACATCGCTCTCAGAGTCAGGCTGCTCCTGTGGAAGGTCTGCCTACTGGACCGGGCCGGTCGTCCCCAGCGGGGATTCTCCGTCGCCATCAAGGCAACTAGCATAGCCTGGCGTGCACGGCTGATGCCGTACCTCTGGCAGTCGACGGGGGCCCTGTCAAACATACTGGTGTCCTTGGGCGAATTCGACGCGGCCTGCCAACTCCTCGTCGCCACCATCCCCAGGGCCCTGGAGTGCGAGGCGCCTGATGTCGTGGGCCAGCTGTACTCGTACCTGGCCGACGCCAACATGGGTTTGGCGGGCAATATGGAGCCCAAATCGATGAAGCGCACCGAGTACATGACGGCTGCCCTGGCTGCGGTCAATAAGGCATTCGACCACTATTCGTCCATCGAGGATATCAACCTCCAGTGCGAGATGATGGCCAAGAAGGCCATGATTATGAAGCTGTCGGGGGATATGGTGTTGGCGTCCAACTATGCTGCCGCGTATGTATCTCTACGGAAAACTGCAGAGTCGCTGAGCCTGGGACCATGAGGCCGGGGAATGATAATGTATACGTGTTTTATGAGAAAATGCAGCAGAGGTATTGAGAAGTTTTATACATGGCTACGACCAAAAGTGCTATAGTGTTGTACATGAACAGTAAAAAAAGCCATTCGCTCCAAACGCCATGTCGATCCTCTTATTTCTTTTCGTTTTCTTTCTCGTCTTCTCGCTGTTACCAATGAATCTTCTGACCCTTGCGATTCTTGAGACCGGCGGTGTCCTGTTGGGAGTTCGCAGCACCAGCGTCAATGTCAGCAGGGCCATGCTTCTGCACGTCGGCCTCGTCAGCGTCATTGGTGGCCCAGATGCTGTCGATGCACAGGTCGAATGGGCCCTCGACGCGGTCGGTCAGACCAATGCCGATAGTCTGGACCTTCTGGCGGAGCAGCTCCGTCTGCGGCTCGACGACGAATCCGTAGCTCGTGCGGACGAAATCGTTCCACCGCACAAAAATGGTCTCCCAGTGGCCCGGGTTCTTGGCGAACAGCCGGTGCTGGTGCAGGTCGGTGGGTTCGACGCCGTCCGTCTGCACGTTGACCAGGTACGAACGACCGTCCGACTTGACGCGCAGGGCGAGGTAGGTGTAGGGGTCGATGTCCCAGAAGGACCGGCCGAAGAGCGTGGGTGACTGGTCCGGCGTGCGGAAGCCGGCGTACCCGGAGCGCTTGATCTTCGGCTTGTCGGCGGGCAGGGCGGTCGAGATGCTCCCGTGGAAGCGGGCGTAGGGGTGTCCGACGTCCTTGTCTCCGTCCACGGGGTCGAGGTTGCTCTTGGAGAAGCCGCCGATCAGGTCGTCGCACATGACGATGCAGCTTGATATGGAGTCGCGCGAGCGGAAGTCATAGAGTTGCCTGTTAGACTGGGGGCCCTTGATCGTCTCAGAGTTGAAGGCTGCAATGGGTTTTCTTTTAGTTTTTTTGTTTGTATATAAATAATTAGATGCAGAGAGGAATATTCTATGCAGAGGGAACGAGGTCCTACCTATGCTGGAGCGTCGGGCTAGCTCGTCAAAGCTACGGCCGAATAGGCCCTTGGCCATGAGGGACCGTGTGATTCTCATTGTGGGACTTGGGACTTTATATGTGGTATTATGGGAAGGAGAGAGCCAGGTGGCTCGGGCTATGCGCAGGGGAACATGAATTTACCCACGCGTCGGAAAGCTCCCTGAATTGATGACGGTTGTCGGTCGGGGTGGAGATTGATGGACAAGCAGCATTGTACCCAGGTTCACACTCCAACGATGTGGTGTTGAGATGGCCAGTGACGGCATTTTTGCTTTTTTGCACAGGGGGGGGGGTAAGGTGGTGTGGATCTCGGTCCGGCGGATGATCCGACGGATTTCTGGGGAAATTCTTCTGCGGCAAAGAAACATCCAGTCCAAAGGCAGATGTGCAAATCGCATCTTTGGTCTTCCCATGGTGTATTAAACGTTCACCGGTAAAGGCGCCGGGCTCTCTCGATTATCATATACGGATCCGGCCTGATCCTACCTCTCCCCGCGAATCGTTCACTCTTGACACGATAAGGATCAGTCTCATCGTCTCCACCAACATGTCTATCCCGTACAGGCTGGGGGTGCTGCCGAGGCGCCCCGTCGTCGACGCATCGCCCCTTGGCCTCGTCCGGGCCAGCCCGTTCAGCACGGCGGCAGCTCGGAGAGACGTGTACAGGCGCGTGGTGCGCGACAGCATCAAGAGCTCAAACAGGAATAACAAGGACTCCTCGCTGTCAAAGGGTGCGCGGGATGCCACGCTGATGCAGCTGCGAGACGGATCGATGCCCATGTTTCCCAGTATGATCCTTCTTCTCCTCGTATCTCTCTCTTTCCTTTGTGAAGCATCATCTCCTGACCAATTGGATAGCAACATTCGTATCCGCGCCGATAACACAATACCCCCTCAACCCTTCGGATTTCTTATCGTATCAGTGGCAGCGGACCAAGGCGTGGCTGACGGGGTGGTTCGCCCTGCTGGGCGTCAAGGTGGACTCGATGGGTAACAAGTGGACGACCAAGACCAAGTTCAAGGTGCGCCGGGGCAAGATCGCGCCCACGGCCAAGGCCATGCACCGGGAGCTCCTGGAGGCCTTCGCGGCCGGGGACAAGGAAACGATCAAGAAGCTGTGCCTGCCCGCCTACGCCGAGCAGTTCGTGCGCGCCATCGAGCGCCGCGACCGCTCCGAGCGCCTCTCCTTCGAGCTCGTCAAGTATAACCACACCCTGGCCTACCCGAGCCTCCGCTCCCACTTGATTGGCAACAGCAACATGTATGACACGACCACCCTTACCGAGCAGGCCGTCGTGGCCATCGCCTCCACCCAGAAGCTGGCCAAGTACAGCGCCTCGACCGGTGAGGTCATACCCGGTTCTGTCAAGGTAAAGGACCAGATCGAGCATATCGTCCTGTGGAGGGACGTAAACGCCAAGACCTACGAGACCGGACCCTGGCGCATATGGGGCAACACAAACGTTACTACCCTCGATGTCGTGCGCAAGAGGACTGAGTTTTGGAACAAGGAGCAGGCCAAGCTTGCTGGGTGGAAGACTGACTGATCTCCGAAGCCGAAAAGCACGAGGGTGAAGGGGGGGGGGGGGAAAGATGCGCACCGGACAGCAGAAGGATGTATCAACGCTTGTAAAATCATGGATCAGGAACTTTTGTATATTACGGTACGTTGTAGTAAGATGTGTACCATAGGCGACGTTGGGGAGGGCGACCAATGGATTTTGTTGCATTACGAAATATTCTCTGGTGCGTTGCAATAGCATTTGTTGCACCTCTTCCCTGTCTTTTGTGTAGTGCTTCCCGTCAAGATGGAAGAGCCGGGTGTAGCGTATCGTGATGTAGGGAGGAGGGTATAGCGCGAAGTTGTGGTTAGGGTTATTGGCATATGACGCTCGTGTGACACGTTTATACACAGCACAGTGAAAAGTATATGATCATGTATGATTCTGGCGAAGAATAAGAGTACCAGAGAAGTGATTTGAGCCTCCATGCGTTGCAGTAAAGCTGTTCCGTCCGTGCATTGACAGCACAGTTCTGATGCTGTGCCTGAAGCCATTCTCAACATAGTCTACATGTACGGTGGCACTTCCATCAGTGATTGCACGCGTAAAGTCGCATTCAGGTTGAAGAGTAGCGATTATAACATACCCTCGAAGCGGAAATACAGAGATGGAGACTCAGAGTACGCAGGTCTGGTTGGCGTGCCGCCAGACTGTAAGCTTCTTCATCGCCAGTGCGCACCTCTCTTTCTTGTTCTTTGACAATTACTGGAATTGAGAGATACAAGAAGTGACGGGGCCTGTCAAGGAGTACGCGGAATGTTCTACATGGGAGTCCAAAGCACATGTGGAAGGTTTACGTATTCATCTTCCACCGTTCATGACCCTCTGACCAGGATCCATATTGTATGAAGGTATCGATCCAGCCAGATTGTATACCCGTTCTATGTATCAACACCATTCTTCCTCGTCCCCCCCCCTCCCCCTTCAAAAAACTTTGTGCTATGCACACTGCTCTCACAGGAGTCCATCCAAGAATGATCCATCCGGGACTCGAGGTTTAGAAGAACCTGCCGGAAGCCTTGGACTTGACAGCCCCCTGCTGGATGATGACCTCTGCATCCTCGGGAGCGGGAGCATCGTCGTCGGCAGCAGGGCGGTCAAGGGCGTCGAAGCGGTGGCCCTTGACTCTGGCCATGACATACTGGTACGTGAGACGGAGGGCGAGGGCGCCAAAGCCCCAGACGAGGCCGCCGACGGGGGCGGCGACAAAGGCGCCAAAGGCTCCCCAGTCGCCGGAGTACAGGCCCTGCTGGAGGAGAAGCAGCTCGGCGCCCTTCATGGGGTCGTCGTAGTAGATGGCGCCGAAGATCCAGACGGTCAGGATGCCGCCCAGGCTGCCGACGACGAACTCGAAGCCGCGCCAGAAGTAGAATCGGTCGGACAGGCCGATGCAGAGGACGGGCACGGTGGCGGCGGAGACGAGGTCGCTGATGAGGTAGATCTGCAGGATGGAGGGGGCCTGCAGGGCGATGGCGACGACGGGGATGATGACGACGACGACGAGGCCGCGCGTGACCCAGATGTTGAGCCGGTTGCGGAACAGGTCGTTGGAGGCGGTCGACACCATGGCGGACTGGATGCTGTCAAAGGCCGAGGTGCTCAGGCAGACGACCATGACCAGCACGACGCCCACGACCCAGCTGGGCAGGCTGTCGAGCAGGGAGAAGAAGGCGACGGAGCCGGCCTGCGCCGGATCCCCCGGCCACGAGGCCGACCACACGGCCACCAGGCCCGTCGACCCGACCAGCACGATGACGCACAGGATGGCAAAGGTGGCCAGCGACGTGCCGATCATCAGGTCCTTGTCCGTCTTGGAGGCGAAGGTGCGCAGCCAGAGCTGCGCCAGGAAGAAATCGTTGGTGAAGATGGCCACGGGAAGGATGTACAGGAGCTGCCAGCCCACCAGGCTGGCCTTGAGGAGCCCGGACTCCTCGATGAGGTCGCGCTTGATGTCCACCTCGACGCCGATGGTGATGGCCGCAACCACCACCAGTCCCATCACCATGGCTCCTTGGATAGTGTCGGTGAGGAAGGAGATTTTGAATCCTCCAAAAGCTGTAATACACGCAGCAGTCAGTACGTACTTTTTTGCACCCTTTCTCCTCCTATTTCCTTTTCTCTCTTCTTCTTCTTCTTCTTCTTCTCTGGAATGAAGGAGAAGTGGGCAGTATAGATGGAGAGCTCACAGGTATAGATGGTGGTGACGACGCATTGCACAATCATGACGGGAAGGTCGTCAAGCCCAGTCAGGAGATTGATGACCTGGCCGACACCAGACAGCTCCGAGACCATGTACAGGAAGAGGGTGACGAGCGTGACAAAGCTCAGATAGAGCATGGCCACCATGCCGTACCTCTGTCTGGTCCATTCGGTCAGGACGAATCCCTCAGGGCACTTGCGACGGATGACGGGGCCGACGAATCCGAAGATGAGCATGGGCAGAGCCGACGCGAGGGCGTACACGATGACACCCTGGACGCCAGCAATCGTGGCTATCTCGGGGTACGTGAACAGAATACCGGATCCCAGGGCTGGAGAAACGAAAGAGAAGAGAGAAAAAGCTGCATGTCAGTTGTGATGTTTCCCGTGAGGAAAGGGGGGGAGGGGGGAGAGGGGGGGAGGGTTTGAATTTGAAACAAAATCGGAGCGGCAGCACTTTTCCCACGCAAGCATTAACTTGATCGAGTATGACGGTACAATCTCAGCTTTGTTTGAGCGAACAACGACAGAACTCATCCCTCTCTCGAATATCTTGAATATCTTGCAGAGGAAAGATGATGCTGTCGTTGCCGCCAACTCAGCGCCCGTAGTGAGCCGCATCTTCTCCAACCTCTCTGCCGATCAGGGTAAGATCACAAAACATCAACATGCCCGTCCCCTCGCCATGTATCGTCCAGCTGACGGAATTCGAGGTCGTCTCTTCCCGTCATGGCAGAGAGGCCGAAGAAGACACTGAAGAATCTTTCTTTCTTTCTTCTCATTTTTTTTTTCAAGAAAACGAACCTTGTCATTTGCGGAGTGAGTGGAAAAAGTTGGGGTTGATGCCCTTGGCTGCGCTGCCGTTTCGCGAGAAAAAAAGGACGAATTGCGATTCTGAAACCACGAGAGGCCTCTTGCTACCGCTTCGATTTCCCTTGTCCTGTTCTCTTGTTGCTAACTCGAGAGCTGGCGTCACTCACCCGAAGCGAAGAAGTTCAAGGCCAACGGGATGGCTACACCGCACACATCGTCAACATTAGATCCCGGGTTTCAGTCAAAGCAGTGGGGAGGAGAGATGAGTTATGCATCGGGGCTTTTTGCATCTTCTTTACCAGTCTGTGTCCTGTTACTGGACAGGAAATCCGTCGTGTTACGGGCCTTGAGATGCCACGCAACTGCTGTTCCCATGACGCTGTTCCCCCCCACCCCACACATCATGAGTTAGCCATGTTCCAATCCATCGTCTTCTCTTCTCCCCTCCCCTCTCTCTCTTCCTTCGTAATACTACTCACACAAAGGCGCCATAGCTGAGATAGACGATGGCATTTGACGCCTCGGAAGATGGATGACCCATGATGCAATCGAGCCTTGTTTTTCTTTGAGGATGACGGTGATGGTGATGGTGATGTTTGTAAACGGTAGAGAGATGTTGACTGAGCGGAAGAAAGGAAAGAAGAAGAGGAGAAAATTCTTTATCCTCAATAGTGCCAAGACTGCTGAACCGAAAAAAGACCGCAAAAAAAAAAAAAAAAATTGGACAGAGTAATACCCCGTTCAGTACTAACGATTTTGTGACCTTGAGGTACGTATTTCTTCCTAGTTGAGTTGGTGTCTGCTCGAGTCTGTTCCACCAAGATCCTTGTCAGCATCATCAAAGTGGAGATGGCGGCGAGGTTCCAAAATCGAACGTTTAAAAACACGTACGTCTCACTTTGAAATTACACACATACACACATGTACACACATGTACACACAAGAAGAGCATTTCTTTCTTGGTGAAAACACCTCTTACGGTTCGTGACATCTCATCTGGAGAAAACATAACTGAGAGAAGAACAACGGATATCCCTTTTTTCCTCCCCTTAATGTCCAACATGAATTCATATCCCAATCGTCCTTATCCAGGCGGAAGTCCAACTTGTCGTTTTTTGTGTGTGGATGTGCAAGGTCGGGGAGAATCGTCCATGAAGGGACATGCAGAGTTCATCATTTTTTTTTCCCTCTCTTCTTTTTTTCGGTCGTGTGACGGCGTGATTCGCGGATACTTACGTTGATGTGAGAGATCAGAAGAAACAGCGGAAGATTGAAACTGTAAGAATTTTGCAGCCGCATATGTCAGTGAGAATGACAAACAATGGGAAAGATGAGAATGCATGCTGCATACCTTGGTAAGACATAGAGAGCTGTAGGACTCCCGTTCTTTCCATTCCAAATGCATCGAAAGAAGAAGAAAGGCAAGAAAGGACAAGACAAACATGCAAGGAAGCAACTTGACCTCTCGCAGCCCCGATTTCCACATGGCATACTGGCTGATCTTGTTGAAGGTCCGAGTTTTCCTTTCGTTGCCAAACAGATTGTTGATGCCGAAAATGCAGAAGAGAGGGAGAACGAAAAGCACGGAGGGTAGATGGATTGGCCAACCTCTTTGGGGGTGACAAGAGTTTCACTCAGCAGAGCTGCCGTCTTGCACGTTCTGGGGAGTGCGTGGACTGCGAAAGAGACAGATGGAAAGCTCAGGATGCTCTGCGTCCTCACCATGAGGCCTGTGATAGTATCTGTGAGGGACTACTGACGGCCGTACGGGCCGTACATGTGGGCGAGGGGGTCGCCAGGCATTCCAGGGTAGTAGCCCGTGTATCCGGGAACCATGGGCGGCTGCATAGGAGGCGCATAGTGACCAGGGTAACCGTACGGAACCGGGGGAGGGGGGCCGTAAGGCTGCTGCTGAGAGAACCCGTAGGGAGGCACGGAGCAGGGCTGCATAGCACCGTGGGGGACAACAGCCTGTCTCTGCTCAGGAGCGTGAGGGAATACGGGACGAGGTCAGTGAAGGGAAAAACCATGGAGGGTTTTCTATGTCTGTTGGAGGGCGGGGGTCAGGATAAGGAAGAAGAAGAAGGAAAAGAAGAAGAAGAGAAGACTCACGTTGTCAGTGGCAACCTGACTCGTCTGAGCAGAACGCTCAAAAGACCTGCGCAGAGAAGGATTCCCCTGCATGGGGCGGATGGTGCGCCGGTCAAGCTGCTGGCCACCGCTGTGGTGAATCCCGGGAGCGGGCCCCTGCTCGATGGCCTTGGGGGTGAGGATGCTCGGCTGGCTTCCTCCACATATGCCTTGGTAGCCTGGGAAGGCCGCTGGGTGGGAGCCAGGCCCGGACAAGCTGCCGGCCTCGTCCTCTTGCTGCTTGCGAGTCAGCTTGTGCTGGGCACGCATGATGTAGCCGCGCAGCTCGGATCCGTCCTGTTGTTGTCATGTGAGTGTCAATGCTGGCGAGCTCCCAAAGTGTTTAGGGTTCTGGGAAGAGGATGCGAGCGTACGTAGGCGTGAACGAAACCATCGACAGAGGCACTCTGCGTAAATTCCACGAAGCAAAAGACGATTTCTGTTGTCAGTTGTTCTGGTCAGCTTGCCGTTTCGTTTCCATCTTGCTATTGTGCTGCTTCGGTGAATGCATCGAGGACTAGGAAGTGGGGGGGGTTATCTGACCTTTGCCGCCCGCAACGATTTTATGGTTCACCGAAACCTTGACAACGTTACCGCACTTGGCGGCCATGTCGTTGAACTCGCGCTGCGAAAAGTCAAGAGGCAGGTTTCCGAGGTAGGCGCTGCGACGATCGACTTCGTATCGAGCTTGGCCCGAAGGACGGTCAGAAGAAACATAGGGCCTCCCGGTGCGGGACATCCTCTTGGCATCGAAGGGGAAGGCGAGAAACTTCTTCTGTGCGTTGTTGATCTTCAGTTCAGATGAGTTAGTTCGCCTCTGCAGTTCGGGAGCTCATCGACGCATCTGTCTCCCTCTCTCCTTTCTCGTGCTTAGACTGGCTTACCACGCTGATGTCCCGAGCGGGATTGTAGACGCGGTATCTGACGACCAGTGCAACCGACATGCCGAGCTGGTGCTGCATCGTGCCGTCGAGAGGCTCGATGCTCATGATGTCCCCAAGAGGGGACATGAAATTGCGAGCCTCGGGCTCAGTAATAGGGCCACCATCCGTACGGCGAACGACGAACACGGCTGCAGGCATGTCAGTAGAGGGAACAGAGGCAAGAGATGGAGAAGAGAGAGAAAAAAAAAAAAAAAAAAAAAACTCAATCAGTTCGTATTGGAGAAGGATCTTCATACAATTGGCCTTGGCCAGCTCGGTTCGGCACTCACGGCCGAGCAAGACGATACCATGGCCACCTTGGATAGCGCGCTGAGCATCCTCGCCGGTCTGTAGATGGTCAGTATCAGAGCAGCCTGTCCATTTGGAGTTGCAGCTTACGGTGTATTGGCAAAAGGCGAAGGGCATGTGGGCAGAGTCACGCCTGATCTTTACGAAAACTGTCCCGAACTGGCTGAAGATGCGGTAAACCTCACCCGCGAGGATGGAATCCGAGATACCCAGGGTCAAGCTAGATGCAGGTGTCAGAGATCCTAGGAAGAAGCAGTGTGCAGGAATGATGTTCTGCGGGGGATTATGTTGATTATGGGAGGCAACTTACTTGGCAACGAAGACGCAGGCTGAGGGAGAGTAAATCTCCTGAGGGTCCTCCTCACCGGTGAAAACAGGCACATCGCTCGACTCCTGGGTCGAAATATCACCGACGGGACCGTTGGCGGCGTTGGTGCCGGCCTCGTCGCTGGTCTCTGAGAGACCCTCAGGGACATTGTCTTCTTCGCATGGAGGCTCCGGATGAGCAGTAAGACTGAATGCCTGTGAGCACCGAGAACAGAAGGAAAAACCACCAGGAATAATTGAGGATGTGGAACTTACTCATCAGCAGGTTCAGTAGCCGTCGTGTTCTCGGCAACGTCGTTGGAGGCATCATCGGATGAGGTGTCCTCTTCGAGCCTAGGAGCACTTTCCATGGTCGACTTAATTTGAATGAATGGGAAGAGGTAGAGAAGAGAAGGAACGTCGACTTACTCATTGTTGATGGCGGACATGGACAAGGTCTTCAGGCGAGACCCAAGGCGAACTCCTGGAGCACATTTAGTATGGCTGCCTATCCTAAACTGCAACATCCCTGTGACCTTGCAACGATTGGTAAGGTAAGGAGAACGTGGAAACTCTCTCTCTCTCTCTCTCTCTCTCTCTCTCTGTGTGTGTGTGTGTGTGTCGGCAAGATAAGGGGAGGAAAAGTAGGAGAGGGAGATGCTGTCATCTTACCACCGTCGGGAAGAATGCAGTCCTCATCCTCGGAGGAAGCGTCATAGTTAGCGAGAATCGAGTAGGAGTTAGTCTTGCGAAGACCCCCAGACCTGCCCAAAGACCTGGCAGGCACCGACATTCTGGGTCTGTGTGGTTTGGCGCGTTCATAACGGCGGACCAAGAAATAGCACGAAACTTGATATGTGGGTGTAGAGCGACAGAGGCCAGAGGAGGGAAAGGGCTGGGGGGAGAAGTGGTAGTCCTATAACCTCGGGAGACTGCAACAAGGAAAGACCAAAGTTCGAAAGGGTCCTAAAGCTGAGTGGCAGCTCGAGGTGTTGTGGATGAAAGGAGAAAGATAATGGGAGGAGAAGAAGAAGAAGAAGAAGAAGGGAGGGAAGAGGACTGGGTAGAAATAGTCGGACGGAAGAGGGAGGGGGGAGAGGGGGGTCGAGGGGGGAACACTACCACTGTGGGTCGAAATCGCTCTCGAGAGAAAAAGAAAATAATAAACAAAAGGGCTGTCAGTGAATTGGGGAGAATGGAGGGGGCTTCTCGTCTTCGAGCCAATACCGTGTCCAGATTTCACAGGATCACTCAGTCCAGTGGAGGTCGAGGAATTCTTTTCGATTCTTTTTCTCCTTTGGGATGACGATATGATGGAAGATGCCCGTCGTCTTGTGATCTGGGTGATTGGCAAAGCAATGGCCGGAAGCCTGGTTCACGCTCCCGAGGGCGGGGATTGGGGGGGAGGTTGGGTAGACTGCGGCCTGTAGACGTCGTCCACCTTGGGAACTGGGACCCTTGAACTCGGCAGACCCTGTGTAGATCTCCCGAAACCTGGGGTTTAGTTCTTCTACACAGGACTCGGATCTGTACCACCCTGGCTGTACCGCTCGTTAGTAGCTGTACGAGAGTGTTGGTACCGGTACGAGAACACGTATATATATATATATATATGTATGTCAATGTACGACCATCGGACACCTCTCCTCCCCTTTCGTAGTAGTCGTGATACAGTAGCCTTCTTCGTGATCTTCCGGGGTTGTCCTCCTGCAGAAGAGAACATGTGGTGACGTTCGCGTCAGGAGGTTCGAACATGGAGTCAGAACAGCAGTGGCAGCAGCAGCAGCGACAGACGGGTGAAGGCTTCTACAGCGAGGACATTGTATATACACATCGAAGACTTCGCGGCACTAACAATCTGTACATGACGCTCCCCATACAAGGCCCGCGGTAGTTGAAATAGACGCACAGCTACCCCTGGTGCATGGATGCCTTGCTCTTCCAACCATCGAGCAATAACATCGAACGGATACCTGCAATGCTACCTACCCATGACCGGGTGCTACTGCTGCTGCCAGGATTCCCAGAACCGCTTCCGACAGCCTCTACACCCCTTTTACAAGCGGTTGGTCCCCCCGACCGTGAAGACTGCCTCCCACCAGCTACCTTGCCACATCCGGTGACTCAGAGATGCAGCGAGGGGGAAGTTTTGGCCTGCATAAAGCTTCTGATTCGTCCGCGGAGGCCCTCAAGGTGTGCGTTCGTGAGGAAGCGTGCATGGTCCGTCCTCGAGACCGGCGTGAGGAGGGCCGAGCATGACAGGAGATACTATCTGGCGCCCTGGAAAAAGGAACTTGCATGGAAATATACCACGGAGGCTTCAGGAGTACTATCTGCGTACATCTGTAACAGTCACCAGAGGAAATTGAAGTCGTGGACCTGTAGGAAGGAAAGAATAACAAAAACCAATAAAAAAAGCCTCTGCTCGTATATCACTTGGATCCTCAAAGGCCTGACAGTACGGGCAGCGAGAGCCCTCAGGAGATTTGAACACGACAAAGGCCGTTCCGATAGCTGCAGTGTGCGCATCTACTGTCCAATGATAATTAAGGGAAGGGGAGGGGGGTTCGAATAAATGCGATACGGAAATGGCCCAAAATGCCTTGCAACTATGCAATGGGGGTGGAAAGACCCGTCGGCTAAAGGCCTTCCGATACCGCCCGAACAGCTCGTTCAGACGAGATGCCGTGTACATCATCGGGTCCCTCGTCTCATCGCGGTCTTCATGGTATCAATCTCATTGCTTGATTCGTTTTTGGGAGAGCGTGGGAAGCGAGTCAGTAAATCTTGTCGTGGGAGCCTGCCAGCTCAATTTCCGGCATATTTCGCGCTGCAAATCACCTCAGGGAGGTCTATTGAAAGGTTGACTTGAGCTCACAGGTGCAACATCAGCAGATTCATATGATGGCGTAATTCAGTACGGGGATGGCTCTCTCAATAGCATGAGAACTCGAGTTGGCGAAATTAGCCAGTTGCCTGACGATATCGTGTCTATCGACTTGAGCCTTGTGACGTGTTTTTCACACTCAAAGGACAGGAAAAACGCAACCTGATATCTTTCAAGGAGACAGAAGAATACATAAACAGCTTTCCAGCTAATCCGTCTTGGTTGTTGAACCGCCAGGGCCTCATTGGTCCTTGCCCCCTCCCCCCTCCCCCTATTCCATGATAGTTATCCACCAAGAGGAAGAGTATTGCTTCCCCGAGAAGAGCATTTTCATGTACACACATTCGATAACCGGGTTCAAGGGACAGAGAGGTAGGCTTTCTGTCCTCGACTGTGCCCGCGACTGTGTGTGATTCCCTTGGACTGGTACGTAGATGCATGCAGGAACGCTTCTCATCGCCACGGCCAAGATGCTTCTTCCTCTTCTCACAGATCCTCGTGCCGTGCTGTAGTAGATCGTCCGAAGCCTTTGTAAGTATTACAGGTCAAGGAACGGACTCTTTCAGTCCTTGTTTCCGCTCCATTTGCTTCCTTGGTCCATTGATTCAAATTCTCCCTGTTATTGCTAGGCCTCCCTTCTCCTTCCCTGTGTGACTCTGTGTTCTCTCTTCCGTCTTTATTTATTTGTTCATTTCTCGGTCGCCTCGATCATCTATCCCGTCTAGTTGTCGTCCTTCTCGCTACCTTGGCACGTTTCGTCTCGTTTTGATTTCATGGTTCGTTCGCTGCCTCTGCTAGTGCTTTCCTCCTTCGCAGGTGAACCCTGTCCTGCCCCTTTCTCTGGAATGCCTGGGATTATTACGCAAATGCCCCTTGTCTCTTCGGCGGCCTCTGCAAGAGATGGTCCTCTTGCTTGGTCAAGTTAAGTCCGTCCTTCGCTTGTTCGGTTCGCGTGGGCCTGGATTGCGCTGCTGTCCATTCCGCTCGCCTGGTTCCCCTGTTATCTTTGTAAGTGTCAGTTTTGTATGCTCTTCTTCCGATTATTCTATACGGTGCTCGTAGTCTGCCTGGCCCGTGTGGCCGACTCTTGCTGGTTCGATCTCTCCGTCTTCTGTGTCTCCTAGCTCTGTGATTGATACTGCTCTTGTCGCCCTTGTCTATGTGAGTGGACTTTGTTTTGGTTGCCTTTGTAAGCACTCGTTCTTCTTCTGACTCTGTGGCAGTTATTGACGTAGAAGTCAGTTCTGCTTCCTCTAGCTGTTTTTTCCCCAATATCAGAAAGAATAGCAGATGACAGAATATGCAACGGTAATGGTGGACAGCAGGCAGCAGCCAGAGGAGCCCCCCGGGTAAAGGTAGCAAAGAACAACACCAGCTGCACCATCTTTCCCAGGATGCAATAGAGTCAAAGGGATGGTAACAGTAAATTGATAAATGAAGTCACAACCAGAATGATGTTACCCATATAGACAGCATCATCAGACAGATACTGACTCTTGTCATGGCTGGCGCCATCGTGGCTATGATACGAGCTGCGACATCCCTCTTCAGGTTTGCCTCTGCGTACAAGTAAACGGATTACACAACCATACAGATTCTGTTTGACAAAACTTACATCAGTCTTTTAATACGGTATCTTGGATACATGCATTACAGGGTGCAGGCCGGTGAAACATGACCTTTCTACAGGTTTGTACTATCCTCAATACACCAAATTTGGCTGCTGTCGTACGCGTCTTCCCGCGCCCGCCGTCCCCTTTTTTCTCTCTCCTCCAATCAGTCCTCCGATTTCGCAATAGTGAACAAGACTAATCCATAGTCTTTTTATGCTGCTCATAAGCTACAAGTTGATATCTATCTCAGTCGTACAATACGGTGGCTTTGGTGGGTACGTATATCTGGCCCTTGTGGTCTGCTGGCTAGTAGCACGGGTTTTGGCTGTTTGATTTCTGGCTGTCAGGACTTTCGGCTGCTACATTCCTCTGCTGATCTGGATAGCTGTAAATTATCGTACCTTAAACTCTCTATCAAGACGTTGCCAATATATCCTCTTTGATATGATGTACTCGTAGTTACATCTGTCAAGGTGGTCGGTTGAGAGACCGTAAAGATGTAGAATCATCCACTGGAGCGTGGGAAAAGCACCGTCTAGGTAGTAGGCCACCACATCACATTGACCAACATAGACAAGCATCTACCTGAGATCGCTGTTGTCCGTACGTATCCAGAATCGTACCCTTCTCTCTCCCTCTCTCAACAAGAAGACTCTACTATGACCCCCTCTTCTGTCAACAGCTCTACATACAGCGTACTATTCCAATAGGGTCGACATGTCCTGAACGCAGGCATCCGGCCAGTTCTTTAGAATCGTGGCTGGTGTATCGATCTCCAAGACATCTGCCCCTCTTCCTGTCGTGGCAGACTCCGCCGTCCACCTTCATACGGACGCATGGTAGGTATATACGAGAATATCCAGACATCAGCCTATCTATTTTGTTGGTAGGATCATGTGCGGATCAGGATATTCATGGATTATGGGTTATATGAGGTATTGCGCGCCGAATCCATGGTTCAGACACGCTACGGTTTGACTAACTATTGATGTACTGACATTTGCACCTCGATAGATGTCGACAGCACGGAACCATACGCCGCCGTCTTTGAGAGAAACAGAAAGTACCATGTCGACGTCGATGCCCTCTGACGAATTCCCGCGGCATCCAGTAGCTATGAAGACGGCACAAGCATCGACGAGACGGCTCTCCAGGCCACTACGAGACCACGCACGAACGCAGTGGTTGGTGATATCCTTTTTCCGTCGGTCAGGTAACAGCCACCGATCAGGTAACAGCGGCCGGGCTGGGACACGAACGCTCTCACCGAGCGAGACTCTATTCACCGTCCGGGTAACAGACGACGGGCCGTATCACGGCCACCGTCACGGAGACGGTTCACGGCCGCTGGTACCGGAGGCTGAGCCGGGGCAAAGAGGAGCGGCGGTAGGTAGCCAGAGGCCAGGAAACGGATTTTCACAGAAGCCGAAGCTCTTAAGCTAGTACACCAGATGGATATCCTTGACGTTCCCCCATCGTTGGTCTTAAGGGATGGTCTTGGGTCCTGCTACGAATAACATACCCCTGGCCAATGTACGGCTCAAGCGAACGACCGTTCTCTAGACTGGAGTAATGGTTGAACCAGGTGAGACCCCTCTCTTGTTCTCTGAGGTCCAACGGTCTCTAGGTGTTGGTCTTTGCACTCTATACTTGGCCGGCCCTAATAAGTTCAGCAATCTAGGAACGTTCAGAATTTCCACCTGAAGAACATCCTTCAGGACTTCAGAACTTTTTCGTACGATATGGAAGTTTCGGACAGGCGCCGAATGTGTACCCATCATGCTCCCTTCCGGCAATAGTTGCGAGGTTGAGAGACATCTACACTATGAACGTAGCGTCCAGACATGGTATTGAACGCTCTTTCTGGTCCACTGGTACTTGGAACGATACTGGCCGTACCAGAAAGTACAGATCATAGGCAGGCAACCCTTCGAAACCATCTTCATCAAAGGGACAGAAAGGACAAGGAGAGTCTACCAAAGCGACAGTCCAGAAAACTGAGCCAAGGGAGACGACTAGCTAACAAAGAGTCGAAGAACTCAATGAGGGACTAAACGAAGAACCCGATGACGAGTAACAACGGCCAGCGGAGAAAAGCTCAAAGAAGAGTACCTCGACCAGGAGAACACTTGACGAGAGACACAGCGAATAGGCATAGGACGAAGAGACAGTCAACGAAAAAATACATCACAAAGAAACAATCAGCGAAGAACAGAGAAAGAAGAAACGGGGGAAGGAAAAGAAATAAAGGCACGGTTGACGAAGAAATATGCCACAAAGCGGAAAGACGTGAATCGTGAGGGGTCATACAAAGAGGAAGCAACCAGCAACCAAACAAGGATTGCAACCTAAATCTGGGCATGTTCGGGGCTTCTTTGCGGAAAACTCTCGCAATCGTGAACATTAACGGGATCATACCTTTGTACCGGGTTCTTCGAAGCATCACCTTTCTATCAGCGCTGCTTGGAGGACAACTCTTCTTGTAATATATTATACACGGAATAAGTTGGTTCCGGACCGATGATCCCGTGTCTTTTACTTGGCGGCACTCTCTACGACAATCCAGTCCTTCATAGGCCTTTCTGATCATTAGTAGGTACCATGGAAGTTGACAACGTTCGTCAAACTGCATGCACTTCTTTCTGCTTTACTATCGACTCTGCAGGCCATGTCAAGTCAAAAGAACCATATTACGAGCCTTTTAAACTGCTCTGATATATTTTCCCGGCGGTTTTCTTTTTCTTTTTTTTTGCGCTCCTCATCGCCACAATGTTGTAGTTTACTCTCCAAGTCTACAGTGTATCATTCAAACATATATTATTAATTGTCCAAATTGAGGTTGGAAACGTGCCCTCTCCGTATTACTCCAAATCCCAGACCTTGCCGCAGGGTAAGCGAAATGGTTACCAAACCAGTTGACTGAAACCTTTTGGTCACCAGGCCGTACCCCAGCGATTTTTCTTCTCTTTTATTTATTCTTTAATAATAATAATAAATTGAAAACAGAGAAACGTCTGTCTAGGAGCTTAGCCCGCCCCCCCTCCACAATCCCTGCCCGGACTTCCCCTCCGTCGGGGGATACACGAACGAGGGTCGTCGTCATCCTCTTCCATCCTTCACACACACACATCCCTCACCATTCCCCCTCCCCTCCCCCCCTCTCCCTCTAGACACCCCCCGCCGCCCCTCGAGGAAAAAGAAGGGAGAGAAAGAAGAAAGAAGGGAGAGAAAGAAGAAAGAAAGGCGTAGTTAGTGTGTCACCTTTCCATATGGCCCAGTGCATGCTGCCATGTCATATCGTGCGCGTCACAGCCGCGCCTCGTCGGTCCCGTCGTCGCCCACTCTCTCGCCCGCCCAGCTCTCCTCCTCGACCCTGACCAACACACCGACTCGCTCGACGACGTTTACGACTTCTTCTTTCGAACGATCCGACTCCGGAGCTGCTGCTGACGCCTTCGCTACCGGTGGTGATCGTCGTCATGATCGTTCCGTCACAAGTCCCGCCGATGACGGGCCCAACAAGGCTTCCCTCTTACAACCTCGCGTCGCTGTCGTGCTCAACGTCCCCAGACCTTGGCACCCGTGGCTCTTCGCCCTGAGACTGTGCTCCATATTACCCGCTGTCTGGTGGGGGACTCCTTCGGCCCTGCAGCTTCTCCTGCGTCTCCTGGAGCTCATGCTTAGGAGCCATGCTGTCCCCGGCAACTACGCCGGGGCCAACGACGAGCAGTTTGTGCCCTTAACCGAGACTACGCTGGCTGCTATATGGTGCTTTGCCTCGGGTTACCTTTCGTTCTTCTTTACCGATTGCCTCATGTCACGATGGTATGGCCCGCCTCTCTCTTGATTCCCTCCCCTTCTGCTTCTCCTTCCTCGTCATCTATCATCCTCCTTCTCTCCGCTAACTCTATTCGAACCCAGGCTCATAAACTACACCCCCCAAGCCACAATCGTCCGCCTCCTCAGTATCAACGCCGTAAACGCCTATGTGACGTCTACCGTCCTCGATCTAGCCGGCGGATTCCACGATACCCGTCTCCTCCTGCCCGGCTGGATCGGAATTGCAACGGTAAGCTCTCTATCCTGCTGGCCTTTTGTAGCTCGATCTGATGCTAACGCGAAGACTTCCCCACTCAGACCTGGACAGTCTGCTACCACATCACCCACCAAAAGATCAACATCCGCAAAGAGACCTCCACCTCTCTCAACGTCTTCTCTATAGCCAGTTATATCAGCATGGTCACTCTCCTCGCCTACATACTCGCCTTTCACCCGGGATACCCGTCCATCCCCGTCTTGGTGCGGGTGCTGGACGCCTGGGAAGATGCCCGCCGGATGGCCGCGCAAATTGGCACTGCCCTCGAGCAGCTGAGGGAGTCGTGATACTTCCTTCTTCCCCATCCCATCGCAATGCTGTGGCAAGGGGCAAACGATAACCGCCATCCCCATCCATGATCATACCTTTTCATATCTCGTCTTTTCATTCATTTTCTTATTTGTATATGCGAGGCGTTCATTCTCCTTCGGCGCAGGCCTTGTTTTGATGTTTATTATTTGATTTCTCCTTGGGTCTCTTATAAATGCCATGGCAATTACCAGAAGCGTGCAATCTGAATCTACATATTCTTTGACTGCTCTCGGATTACAGAATCGAACAACTACAGTACAGTAATGGTCGTTCCGATAGGAAAACGTTTACAAAAAAATCTGGCACCTTTGTCTGGAAACATATCTTCCGCGCTATCGTGTAGACTACTAGTACTTGCTGGGCTCTGCCTAAACATGTAACGAGTGACTGGCAAGCTGTGGAGTTGTGATTTCCTGCTGCGTATAGCCCGGTCCCTGCACTTTGCCGAGGTGGCGTGGGCATCGGCTTCGGCTGCGCCCACTCCACCGACGATAGTACAAGGACAACACGTGGTTGTACCCGCCGTCCTCGCACTCGTGGGTATCGCCCACCCCTCGAGGCATCGAGGACCAAGTCTCGCATAGAGGGACGAAAGCTGGTTCGAAGCTGATGGGCGTACGGTAGACAGCCCAACACCCCTGACGCTCTCATCGTCCCAAGACTGCGGTGCAGCCATGGCGAGACGAGTGGCCGTGGCGAGTTTAGAAACCGTGGATCTTGATCGTCTTAGCGTCAAGACCCAGGCCTTCCTTCTTGTCGGAAAGAAACTCCTGAACATCCTTTCTCTGGTCTCCCTGGAGCTGGATCACATCGCCCATCTCGGTATCGTTGACGATGGTGCCATTGCAGGCTAAGTTGGCTGGTTAGTAAATGATGATTGTCGGCTATTGCGGCGGTGGTGGCTACTGAGGTGAACCCTTGACGTACCAAACTTCTTCTTGATGACCTTGAGTATCTTCTTCTGATCAAACTTCTTGGGCAGACCCTGGACGGTAGTTAGGGTCTTTCGGCCATTGCGCTCTAAACATCCAATGTTAGCAGGATGACCGGTATCTGGTAAGTGGGCGATTCAGCATGGGACAAACATACGCTGAATTCGAATATGAATATAATTCTGCGCCTGCTTGGTCTCTCCGGTGTCTTCGTCGGCTTCGGCGAAGGGGTCTGTGACGGCTGGTCAGTAAAAGGTCCCAATAAGTAGCAGGAAAGCAAGCAAGAAGCTCTTGAGATGTCTTGTTTGACGTCGGACAAATGGCGGGGTTGGTATGCAGGAACCAAAGGCGTAAAAAGTAGGCTCTCGGAATGCACCAGAAGGTGGGGGTGGGTAGGTGCAGAATTAATGGGAGAGGGGCAAAGTGCGCAAATACAGAGGGAGAAAACGAACCGTAAGACTTGAGATTTTCGATGGACATAAACTCGGAGGTTTCGGGGTGACCTTGGGAAAAGGGGTATTGTTTGAAGGGATAGGGAAATGTAGCGACCGACGGCTGTCTCGCTGAGGCTATCTAGGTTGGTGGTTTGTTGCTCGAGGGGTTTTGAAGTGGCGAGATGGATTGCGCAAGTGCGACGGACAGAAGAGGGAAAACTTTGAAAGCGGGGCAGAGTGTTCTTTCTTTTTTGATGACAGGAGGCTTTGGTTTGCCTGAGGATGGGCGGTCTTGCAGTTGATGTGCAGAGGCAAGAAGTCAGAATTGAGTGATGTTAAGTGATGGGAGCGAAGGAGGGAAGAAACGGGGGAACGCAGTTAAAAGACGGGAAGGAGGGGCACACAGTCCCACCTCGACGCACGGCGCACAAACCCAGCGGAAGCACAGAGACACACCAGCCACGGAAGTACCTATCATGCCTGATTATTCAGGCCAAAAGCATGATATGCGTTGGTGCTTCTAGGCCCTACCCACCCCAAGCCACCCCCCTACACGCGACAGTGGCAGTGGCACAGGCGACGGCAAAGCCACCTACCTATACACCCACCAAAACTAATCTGGAATACACGCTGTGAATGATTCTACAAGGCAAAAACCGCCCGAACGCTTTGTCGTATTGTCTTGTAAACCTCTATACACACTTTGGTGGCGATGCTGTCAATTATACTGTAATCATGTGTTGTTGTCACTACTAGGTAGTAGTAATTCACAGAAGCACATATCCATGTTCAGTAGGAGTCTCACTCATTAACTTCCTTGTTTTGCGGACAGGTCCAGAAATGACACACTTGGTCCTATTGTGACTGAGCGTTATCGCCTCAACGCCCCTGCACATGGTCCCGGTGACGGGCTACAGACTACATCCCGAGGTTGTTGACCATTTGTGGTTATCGCCTTGGTGGCTTGGATGGGCGCCGTAGGCTGGTGACACAGGTCCCGCGACCAAACCCCCCCCCCACCCCCCCCCCCCCCCCCCCCCCCCCCCCCCCCCACCCCCCCCCCCCCCCCACACCACACAAGTAGTATGCAGGATTATAACACCTATCACTATTAATACTAACTAGTGATGCGATGCACTCCTCTGTGCACGGCCAAGGATGCGGCCGGTGACGGACTCTTGATGACGAGTATTATTATGGCCAGTGAGAAGTAATAATGCTACTACTAGAAAGTAATGCAATACTAAAAACAAATGTCGGCCAGCTGTATAATGCAATACCCGTAGCCATCGTCTTGAATGGGGGGGGGAAGGGGGGAAGAAGGGGGCGAAAATAGGTAAAAATACGGGGAAGGAGGGCAAGTAGTTTTACTGGTAATAGTGGAAGGAGCAAGTGGCAATGGAAAGCGAAAGAAGAAAGAATGCCGCCGCCAGAGTGGCAGAGGCCAAGCAGCTGACAAACACCCCGCGAATCGGCGCCTCTGGTGGGCGACAAGCAACTAGGGCTAGTCGCCGTGTTCTCGTACCCAATAGCAGCCTACCGGTTTCTACCAGATGTGAAGTCCCATACAAGGCTTGCTGACCTCAAGATGGTCTACAATCCAGACGAGGCACCTCCAGGGTCCCGTCCGCCTTTTGAAGACCTATCGAAGGACGGCAATGACTGGGTGCCCATGTACAGCCATGGCTGCACGTTTGGCGTGGACGTCTTCATCGACAAGATGATGAATCTCATAAAGAACCCAAACATCAACTCGTCTTGGCTGTACCGGGCCGACATACTCTACGACGATCAGTGCCAGGTACAAATCGGGGAGGGAGACGAGGCTTCACGGCCTCGAGTACGCGAGATTGGGGACATGGCCCGTGATCGCATCTTGGTCCGGACGTTGGTACCGCGGAGCACACGCAGGGATGCCCCTCTCGACCAGACATGCACTTTTCACACAGCACATGATTCAGATGGTCGTGTGAGGTCACTTGTCTTGTATACCCCTCATATCTCAGATCCAGAGGAGATGCCTTTTTACCACCCCAAAGTCAAGGCCATAGCCCACCATCACGTATGGGACCCGACCACCAACTCGGGCAACATATCAGTACACTTCCTCCCTTATTCCCAAGAATTGCTACAGGACAAGAAAATACAGAGAACAGCGTACCATCTCCTCCAGGTACTGCACAAGCATGGAGAGGGTTCAGCCTCGGGATATGTCAAACGAGTGCACCACGATCTCATCGTCCCGCAAGCCAGATTCCAGGATCACTATGCTGCCTTCAAATCCAAGTACTCGCGGGTTCTCATCAGCGCATGGGCTGAGAAGACGGATCCCGTAAAGCATGTTTTTGAGGACCTTGGCATCGCCGCGTTCCTGATAGAACTCTGGGCCGACATGTACAAAAGCCCTGACGAGTTCCCTGGCTTTGTGGATATTGGCTGCGGCAACGGCCTTCTGGTCTACATACTCAACCAGGAGGGCTATAAAGGTTGGGGATTCGATGCCCGGTCTCGCGAATCGTGGAATAAGTACGGCAGTTCAGTCTCTGCGTCGCCGTCAGGCTACTCATTGGAGCAGCGGCTGCTCTTGCCTAGCCTAGTGGCGGGAGAGCCAGAAGGGGGAGCTGACGAACTCACCGAGACAGACCAGGTGCACGACGGCGTCTTCCCCACAGGCACCTTCATCATATCCAACCACGCCGATGAGCTGACACCGTGGACGCCCATCCTGGCTGCCGCTTCCGACTGTCCCTTTATCATGATACCTTGCTGCAGCCATAACCTTTCCGGCGACAAGTACCGGGCCCCGCCACCCCGAGACAAGACAAAGCCGTCATCAACCTACGCCTCCCTGGTCGACTGGGTGACACAGATTGCAGAAGAGTGCAACTGGGAGGTTGAGACAGAAATGCTGCGTATTCCCAGTACGAGAAACACGGGCCTACTTGGAAGGAAACGGGGTGAAAAAGTCGTTGATCTTCAGGCCGTCATCTGCAAGTATGGTGGTGCAAAAGGCTACCGCGCCAACGTCGAGCAGTTGCTCAAATCGGGACCCAGAGGCCATTAGCATCGGCCTATGTCATGTGGTCGGAGAGTGCCTATTCTCTCACAAGTCGCTGTTATGCTTATTCTGCCCGCTACCGGGGCAAGTTGGCAATTACCGGCCGATGGAGGAGGGAGTGACTCGGGGGAGCCCCAAATTTAAACGGAACACCACACCGCCACAAATCAGACGCCGGTACGACGTACACAACCGGGCTTCTGCTATCTCATAGATCGAATCGACGTCATTCTTGTACCAATTTTACCAATCTTTCTTTTCTTACATTCCTTCTCACTCCGATGGGAGAAGCCAGGAAACCTAGACCCAGCCCTAGGGGTACGATATGACCTCAATGGCTAACGAGCGGCCCCGGAAGATGGCTGTTATGGGGCAACTTATCGTTGTGCCACACCTCACTAACCGTATTGGACAGTGAACGGTCTAGCCTCAGACAGCGGAGCTTACGGAGTCTTTTTTTCTCCAGCTAGGCTTGAGGTCTAGTTTTGCCTTCTGGCGTTTTGCTTCGCTGGATACCGGTACTATTACTCGTAAAACTCTTGTCCTTTTTGACCCTTCTGCTGCTGACCACCAGTTCACCTCCCCTTTTCCACTATACACACACAACACTGGACAGCAATGCAGTTACAACCGACATTGATCCCCTCGAAACCTCCTATCAATGTTGGAGAGGCAGCGGGACCACTGAACCCCCAGGACACCGACTTTTATGTCCATCCTCACCTGACACCAGACAATGACGCTCACAAGGGCCGGATGCTGAGAAGCTCCGGGTCGATACCAGCTGGCACAGTGATGCTTGTGGATACACCCTACGCCATTGTGCCCATACCACCAGCACCAGCGAGAGCCGGTGGATCGTTGGCAACGACGACGCCCTTGGAACTTCTGTGCAGCAATCTCGTGTGCTCACGCCTTGTGAGGTTGCCAAACGAAAAAAGTATGGCATGTCCAAGGAACTGTGACCGGGACGTCGTTTGGTGTAGCGAGGCCTGCCGTTTCGCCGACAAGGTGCGCCACCAGTATGAATGCCGGTGGCTAAAACAAAAGGGGGCCGTGATGCGTCAGACGGAGACAAACTACGACTTCATCACGCTCTGGCACGTCGTCCGTCTCCTGGCGGGGTGGTACCTAGAAGTGCGAAGTGCTGGCGCAACATGGATGACCAGCAGCACCGCCGCAAACGCATCGACGACAATGGGGACAGCAGGGCAAGATCCGCCGCTAAATGGGACGCATATTGGAGACAGGAGATTCAGCTGGAACTGGGAGGCCGTGCTGCTGTGCTGCGACTATCTCGATTTGTGGCCCGAGTCGCAGATTGAGCATTGGAGAAGGTTGGCAAAGACGTACATGAGTAGCGAGGACGAGGGCGAGGCGGTGCTTCCGTGCCCCTTGAACCTTGGCCAGATGGTATCGCTGATATGCAAGGAGGAGACGAATACCTTTGGATTGTATCCAAAAGCGACAGGTACAGAGACGACACCGATTCCCGGGACGAAACAATCGAGAGGCGAATCGTACGGACTGGGCCTGTATCCGAGAGCCGCCATGTTTAACCATTCATGCCGACCAAACGTAAGTCTTGTGCGATTGTTTCTACGCCCTTTCCTGCTGAGATGAGATGAGCCCCCTCTGTTTGGCCGACGTGAGAAACTCCCGAAGAGGCCTGGCCTGCTACTCGTATGATGAAAAGAGAGTAGAAGTTGACATGACCGAACCTCGTAGGTCTCGCATAAACCGGACGCCCGCGGACGGATGGTGTTTACGGCAGCTAGGGACATCTCCAAGGGTGAAGAATGCTTCATCACGTACTTTGACCTCGCGGCGCATGCGGACGTTCACAGTCGGCAAAAGTACGTGCTAGAGCAGTTTCGGTTTAGGTGTACGTGCGATAAGTGTATCGACGATGAGGCGAGGGAGAATCTCGAGGGGAATGATGCATTGCCGTTTGGGGATTTCTGAAGGAAATTTGGGGTCCCTTTCTGGCGCCCTCAAGATGATGTGTGACGAGCTACAACATGACGGGCAGCTACATGATCAGCTACGGCATGACCAGCAAGATGACGAGAAAACAGAACACATGGTGTGAGTATGGTGTACAAACATTTTCATGAAGAAGGAAGACAGATACTAAAGACGAAAAAAAAAAGAAATAAAACAAACATGCTCATGTCCGACTGCGTGTATGTGCATATTGGACGGAAATGCAAAATAGGGTCTACTAAAAGTTGTTGCTGAATCTATCAAGAAGGCAGTGTTGGATGAGGTTGTCAAAACTTGTGAAACAGGAGGAAAAGGGGGAGGAAGAGGGAGAATGATGAGAAAGTGCCAAGTAAGAGAAACTCACCCTGATGTAATGTAGTCCTGGTTATTGGAACGAGCCTGCATTAAGATGGTGATGGGAAGTCGAACGAACCACACCAGACTTCCGTAGACGGCACCTGCAGCAGCAGCAGACTTGTAATGACAGACATCGTAGCCTTTATTTGCGTATTGTCAGCCGGAGTACGAAGACGGACAGTTGCAGGGGTCAAGAAGAGATGGCGATGGGAGTCGGTCAGATATACCGTGATTATGGGCAACGCGGGCAAAGGTATATCCTGTGAGGGCATCCCATCCTATAGCTATGATACTGGCGATGGGGCCTAGAAGAGTTTTCCGAGTTAGACGAAGCGTTATAGCTCGGTAAAAAGCTGGTCGTCTTTCTTTTCTTCTTCTTTCTCCTTTCTTTTTTCCTCTGCAATCGAGTAATATGATCTCCGTACCTGTGGACCGGACAATGGCTGTGCCAGCCATCATGGGAGCTGCTGCCGCGGCTGCAGCAATAAGGAGCTGATTCAAGGCTTTTTTTTTTTTTTTTTTGCGCCCCCTCCCGGGAAAAAAACAGAGAGTCAGAACCATCACGAGCTGATGTAAGGAGGCATTAAATGGAGGTATAACAAGGTAGAAAGAGAGGACATACTCCTGCCGAGGATGGACTGACACACAGCCAAGGTGACAAGCTCCGAAGCACCGAAACTAGAGCCGAGGAAGATGGTGATGACGAAGACAAAGACGTTCTGGGTGGTCATGGCGATGAGGACGGAGAAGTTGAGGACGCCAGACTTCAGCAGGCCGGCCCAGGCTCCCGTCTGGACGACGAGGGTGGTGATGGGTGCCCCCTCGACGTGGGCACCCGTCGCGGCGGCTGCGGCACCGGCCGCGGAGTTGATGGCTAGATCTAGGACTGAGAAGACGACATGGATGGTGACTTTTCGGGGGTTCGATCAGTTGAGACAGTCTGGGAGATGGAAGAGAAGGAGGAGCAGAAGAAGAAGAATGGAAGTGACGTACTCCGGGTGTTTTGTGATAGCTCATCATCTGGATATATTTATTAGTCGAAAGATAGAAGAGGGTTTGGAAGGTTACGAATACAATACCTAGCCAGCCCATGATAGGTATAACGGTGCTTTTCCTTTCTCTTCTGTCCTCTCTCCTGAAGCGACCAAACGAGAAGATGTTGGAGAAGGAGGATGAGTAGAGAAATCAAGTGTATTGGGAAAGATTTCAGATTTCCACGACGCTTCATGGTTTTTTGTATTTACATCGTCACAGAGCATCCGCAACTCAGCAGCCATCCATCCCGGACAAGAAGAGGACAGGACCCCTGCTCGCCCTTCTTCAACAGAGGCGCAGGGACGGGATGATGTGACAGGGTTGAATGAGCTAATGTAGCCTATCGTTCCGTGATCTAGACTATATCATCATATTACCATACCGATCACCGGGGAAAGCAAGACATTCTCATCTCACCACCGACGCACATATACGAGTAGATGATGACACATGACATTTGGTAAGGATGTCGAGTCTTGATCCATACGATCAGAGAGCAAAAGAGATGAGATAAAGAAAAAGAGGAAGAAAACATGAAGACCCAGGCCGTTCTATGAAAGCACCCAGCTTCAGCTGTGACTGTAGAACGGACAGATGATTGGACAGCGTTTAAGCGAGGAAGGGGGAACCAAGCCACAGTCCACTAAAGAAGGCGGAATGTCATCACTAAGTAGCGGAACGGCGCGCGGAGGGGGCGGGAGGCTCAGTAGTGGGGGAGGCTAGTAATATTGATGATGAATTCCTCCGTATTACTCTCTCTCCTCTCCTACCTACTGCCCATGATGTCATTTCATCATCATCACCACATGAGGTAATACTGACTCCGATAGGCACTGGCCAGACATACAGGAACACCTACCACCCAACCCCCTTGGCCCCCCGAGAATCCCAAGTATCATTACCTCCTCACCTCCTCCTCATCAGCGGCATATCCTCCTCCTTACCCCCCACCGTACCGATAAGCAACGACAGGATCTCGGTGAGCGGACCTATGAGCAGGGCCACGGCCAGCAGCTGGCCGAACCCCCAGTCGTCCTTTCCGGGACCGAGGGTATTCCTATCAATCATGAGCTCGAGCATGGCGATAAAGTACGACGAGGCAAATACGTGGCCGACCAGGAAGAAGGGGAATCTCCACCTTCTGACCCTGCCGCCGTCGTCGTGACCGCCCCCGCCCACGAGGCGTAGACAGTCACTGCCCCAGCAGCAGGCCACGCCCGACCAGATGGCGAGTGAGAAGAGGACGCCGACGAGCAGGGCGATGATGCCGCCGGCAAATATCCACCGGAACACGTCGTTGGTGGCCACGATGTCGAACCCGAACATGACGTACACGGTCGAGCTGTTGCACTCGGCCTGCCCGCCGAACACCGGCGCCTTGGCGAAGACGTAGATGAAGAAGAGCAGGGCCCCCACCACGGCGGCGAAGTAGAAGCTCGTAAAGGCCCAGAAGTGCGTCTTCTGCGCGCGCGTCAGCTCCTCCTCCCCGACGTCGTCTGCGCTCCTGCCGTACGTCCCCTTGGGCTGGATCGCTATCCCGGCCAGTGCGAGCATGTTGAAGATGCATAGGGCGTCGAAGAGGCTCAGGGTGCCGCGGGATGTGCTGATCACTGCCGCCAGGAAGAGCGCCAGTCCATTCAGTCCCAGGGACGAGTTGATCGATCGCGTGAATTCTCGCGAGTTTAGTATCCATGATAGGAACGGGCCGCCCAGAGAGAGGATGTACAGTGATAGGCGGACCTTTCCCCCCCCCCCCCTCAAAAGTCAGACGAGCTTAGGCTTAGTCTCTGCTTTGGAGGCAGAGGAGAGAACAAAAAAACAAAAAAGGGGGGGGGAGGGGGGAGAGTCAAGAGGGGAGAAGGAGGGCAACTCACTCCTATGCCAATTATATCAGGATCTGCCTGGATGACACATTCTTCGGCCATGTTTAGAATGATGGTAGAAGCTGAGGAGAGACGAGAGAGTATATGATTATATGATTATCGTGAGACGGTAGAAGCAAAGAGGAAGAGAATGGGATGTGCTTTCAGAGCAGTAGAATGAATCGGAAGAAGTCAAGAGAGGATAGGATGCATCCGAGAAGAAACAAACCCCCCGGATATATCTGACCCTGCTCCCTGCTCGCCCGGAAACTATGCAGACCCATATCCCGCCTTACCTGGTCATGCAAGCCCTTGTCTTGGCCTGGGGACTGATGGCGCGCTGCTGACCCATGGAGCCATACTGCAGTTCGCCTCCCCTCTTTTCACATCTCATTCGTTATATTAAATAATATTACTATATTATATTATGGGATAGATACGGAGATAGCAGGTTCCATTCATCTCTTTTTTTATATGCTTATATATATATATATATAATTCTATTACCTTTTACGCTTATATCTACCGTTGGCTTGTATTGCAGCATCAACTTTACTCCAAGATGAGGAGGTACCATTACCGTAGCAGAATGAATACTGTTCCTCCCACTACTGCTCTGATTAATACTGATTCGATCAGTTCTGTTTCTCTTCGTACTACTTCTCTCAATACTGCTTCCCTTGTTTGATGTAATACACAAGCGAGCACACAAGATACCTTGAAAACAAAGCCCATGGGCGCGGCTTGGGTTTGGGGTCAACTACAGTGCTTTGCTTTGCTTTGCTTTGCTTTGCTTTATCCCGTCTTAGAACATGAGAGTATTCAGAAAATGAGGATATAAATGTATTGTTTCTCATACGAAGCGGTATTGTAATTGATAGAGAGAGGTTGTATAGTTCCAAGAGAAGCGGGTCATGACATATTGAAAGAAGAAAATGCAATCGTGAAGAAGCACCGTAGAAAAAAATGCATCGCAGTATTATCGTAGACATTGTCATGATAAAAGACGTGAAACCTGTTTTTGAGAAACGGAAAAAAAAAAAAAAAAGAGACGGGAAGAAGAAGAATAGAGTTGCTGTCATCAGAGGTGAGAAAGTTGCAGCCAAGTTATAGAGACTAGTACTCTTCTTCATCCTCCTCGATGGGCGCCGGTGTCCTCCGTTCAGCCCGTCTCTTGGGCCTCCTATGTCTCGAGGAGCTGATGTTGCTAGCCGAGTCATCGGGCATGAGCTCCACGTCGTCGAAGCCCCACTCTCCGTCCGAGCCGGCGCCTCCCCCGCCGTCCACATCGCTGGCCATGGTCCACGGCGACGCCGCCCTGCCCGCCTGGGACTCCATACCGGGCGTGAGGCCGGTCTGCGTGGGGAGCACGTCTATGCGTCTCCTGTTCTGGAGGTTCTGCATCAGGCCGACTCCGCGCTGGCGGAGGGCCGTGCGCACCACCTCGGCGCGGTGGTGGAGCTTCTCGAACGCGTCCTCCAGCATCTCCATGCCGCTGTAGATGTCTCGCTCCATCTCGGCGATGACGGCCATCTCCGACTCCTCGTCGTTGGAGACGGGCTGCCTCAGGCCGCCGCCGCCGCCAACCGTGTATCCCGACGAGGTGAGGCTGATGTGCGATGCCGGCGTGGCCCCGCGGGAGTAGGGCGACAGCGGCGTCGTGTTGCGCGTCGAGTTGCTCATAGCCGAGGCGGGGCGCGAGTCCAGCCCCGCGCCCGGCGGACCGCCGGTGTCGGCGTCGGCCCCCGACCAGAGGAAGCCGTCGAACCGACCCGACGTCAGGATCTCCCACTCGGCATTGTTGATGTTGCTCAGCGTGACGAGGAGATCGTGCGTGTGCGGGTTCTTGATCAGGTACACCACGCTCTCCGCATCGCGGGGCGCCTGCTGCAGCCTGTACAGGCGCTGGAGGGACAGCCCCGTCTTGACGATGAAGTCGTTGCGCAGGTGGCGCGACGGCGTGGGTGCGCGGGGCGCCGGCCGCACCTCGCGTGTGCCCGACAGCAGCGCGTTGAAGTACGACTGTTCCTCGGGCCCGAGGCTGGTGAGCATGGCGAAGTTGAGCGTCTCGTCGTCGACGTCCTGCGGCGCCGGAACCGGCATGTCGGGCGTCTTGTTGAGCCACTTGTCCACGGCCGACCGCACCTTTTTGCTCTGCCGGAGATAGTGCTCGCGGAACTGCTCGTCAATGTCCGGGTCCATCTTGACGGGGGATGCGGGACGGGGCGGCACCTCGGCCGACATCTCGGCCGCCCTCGCGCCCACGTCGGCCAGGTCAAACGGTGGCCACTGCGGCAGCTCGATGCGTCCGCTCACCCACTCCAGCACGTCGCCCCACGTCAGGCCCCGGTGGATCTCGTGGCCCTTGCGGTCGCACATGGCGCACGAGCACCCATGCTCGGGCAGGTCGCGCGAGAAGACGTTCTCCAGACGGTCGAGCAGGCGCCGTGCGATGGAGCGGTGGCCCGTCGCCACCGCGATGGATCCGTGCCTGTCCAGCACGGTCGAGTACTGGTCCAGCAGGTTGAAGAAGGGCGCGAAGAGCGTGTCGGCTCCGGCGAGCGGCGGGTTGGAGGGTCTCGTGCCGTTCTGCCGCGGGAGCACGGACAGGAAGTGCTTCGGTACCGGGTACGCCAGGCCGCCATTCTGGAGCAGGTAGTCGACGCGCGGGATGTCCCGGATGTCGACGGCGGGCGGGGGCGGCGGGGGCGGGGGCGGGGGCACGCCCGTACCTCTGCCCATGCCCGTGGCCGGCGTGGCTGTCTTGGATGGTGGCTCCGACTCGAGATCGTACGTGTGCGGGGAGAAGGGGGCGTTGGACTGCGTGGGTGTCTGGGGTGATGAGTCTTGGGGCGTGAGGGAGACGGCGTCGTCGTCGGCGCCGGCTTCCCTGCTGCTGCGCCGCCCATCGCGCAGGGACGACGTGCGCCTAGTCGACGACCGGCGCGACGGAGAGATGGACGCGCGCGAGTCTGACCGTAGCATGTCGTGTGACCTGTGCTGGGGCGGCCTGACGTACGTGGCTTGGCTGGACGAGGGAGACCTCTCGCCTGTCCGTGAGGCGGCGGCGGATCCGCTGCCGCAATCATCTCGCAGCGACGCGGACCGCGACACGCCCGACGTTCTCGACTTGGCTCTCTGGTGTCTCCTCGAGTGCTCGCTCTCGTCGTCGCCGCCGCCGCGTCTCTTGTCGGCCGAGAGGTCCGTGTCTGGCGGTGTAGGTGGCCGCGAGGACTTTTTGTTGGACGCCGTCGACGACTTACGGGTGAAGTCGGTCCCCGATCTGGTACCTCTCTCCTCCTCTCTGGCTCTGTCTCTGTCCCTGTCCCTGTCCCTGTCTCTGTCTTTACCTCTTACCGAGGTAACGTCGTCGCCGGTATTCACATCCGTCGTCTCGGGTGTGAAAGGGTTGCTGGTGTTGGAACCACGAGGCTGATCGGTAGCGACGGTCGACACGTCCTCCTTGCTGTGGACGGCCTCCTTGCTGTGCGCCTTGCTGAAGGTCGGGTAGGGCAGCGAGATGCGGGACATGTCGAGCGAGGCCGACGACACCCCGGTGAAGAGCTCACTGGCCGACCTGAGGAAGCTGTCGTCATCCCTGCCGGTCCTCTCCTTGTCTCTCCTGCTGGAGGAGCGGTGGGGATGGTGGTGGTCCCTTTCCCTCTTGCTGCCGCTGTGGTGCCGCCTGCTCGACGACAGCTCGCTGGCGGCCGTGGCCTCGCTGACCTTGCTCCGCGATGACTTGGACGACGACTTGTGAGATCGGTGCTTCTTCTCCCGGTCACGATCCCGATCCCGATCCCGATCCCGATCCCTGTCCCTGTCCTTGTCCCTGTCCTTTTCTTTATCTGCGCCGGTGGACTTGCGATCCGACTTGGATCGATGGCGCTTCTCGTCGGTCGTGGTAGTCGTTGCTGTCGTGCCCGTGGTTGCTGTGCCCCTGTCGGATGCTGATATGGCAGAGAGGGGTGCGCCGTCGACGTCGACGTCGTGTTCAGACGGCATCTTGGGTCATTGATCCTTTTGAGAGGGATCCGTCTCTCTTTTTGTTATACCTCTTCTTGTTCTCGTGATTCTCCTCTCTACCTTTTTTCTCTTTTATATTTATGTTTTCTTCTTCGCCTTCTTCTTCTCCTTTACCCTGGCTTCGTGCCAAGAGCTTTCTGTCGGGAAGTGGATTCGCGGTGAGTGAGGGGGTGTGACCTCGTAGCACACGAGTGCTTGGGCGGTAGAGAGAGGAGAGCTCTACAAGCTACTGTAGCTAGCTGATAGCAGCTCCGCTCAGAAAGATCCACGCGAGAAAGGCGGGAGGTGGAAGCGGCAAGCGAAAGAAGGGCCGGGAGAGAGAGGGGGGGGGGGAAGGTTGGAGGGGTGCCAAAAAAATTGAGAAGAGAGTAAGAGAAACGATGAACATGCAAGATGCAAGATGAAGTAGGGAAGAAAAAAAAAGTTAAGACAATATGCAAAACAGCGGTCGTGAAAGATAGGGGTTCGGGTGGTTGGCAGATGAATCATGAATGCAAGGTGCTTGTAGGACGGGGCAAAAAAAAAAAGATGGTACTAGAAAATATCACAAAAAGACGATTTATCACTCATGAATGCTGCCTTTTTACTCCCTCCTTCAGTAGTTGATTGCTATCCAAAGTGTCCATCTCCTTCTCTTGGTTTCCCAAGCTCTCTCTCTCTCTCTCTCTCTCTCTTTTCAGCCACGTCAAAGTGATCCCCCCCCCCCCCCCCCCCCCCCCCCCCCTCTTTTTCCCCCCCCCAAAAGGGCCCCCCCCCCCCCCCCCGGTCCAGCGTGTGGGGTTGACAAAGTGGATCGATAATCGTCTATGAGAGAGCTGTAGCGCTTTTTCAACTTTGGAGGCGGTAAAGAAGGAGGATGGAGAAAAAAAAAAAGCACAGCCTCCGAAATGCCGCCACCGGCCAAGAGTAGGTAAATACTACGATTACTACGATTACTACTACTAATACTGCTACGATTTTTACTACTTATAATAGGGTAATAAGTTCCTTATACTCCGTACCTTTCTTTATATCGATAACCTCTGGAAGGGATGGCTATAATACAAAAAGTATCATATGAACACGAGTTCTTTATATAATCAGTACGACCATTGCCATCAGACTCTCTCGTATTATAATCATCTCCTTCTGTCTCACAAGCTCTCCAGATTGAACACATCCCCCCCCCCCCCTCTATCCCCTCCGTCCTCGGGAGTGAGGGGAAATCCTGCAACGAGCCTTTTCCCTCTGGTTGGTCAATCATCTTCCTCAGCGCTTGTTCGTCACAGCCCATCGATGCCTAACTCGTTGGCTCTCTTATTTTCGTACGTGATACGTGCAATACTACGTAGAGGAGCACCGGTAGGAGGTAATACTATATAGTCTATGATTAGAGGGTCCCGTCAGTTCATCGAATCATTGACGTAGTGAAATTCATTGTGTGACATGGTGATATTAATAGCACTGCCCTAACACTGCTTTAATAGCACAGCCAGTTCAAATCCTTGACAAGACTGTGTACACCCAGGTACGTATCCAATCGTTGTATGTTGTTTGATACCTAACCATTTGTAAAACAAAAATCTTTCCAACGCCGCTCTAGACAACAAACCAGTCTGAAAACAATTTCCCACCCTTATTTTTTCTATAAAAAAAAAATTCCTGAAATCAAGCATTCTCCTTCAAATCTTTATACGCGGTCGAGGAGACCGCGACTCTCGAGCATCAGGATAATCTCATGCACAATGGTGCGCACGCTCTGCTTCTCCAGGTTGACAACCAGGTCAGCCTTGGCGGGGGCTTCGTAGGGGTCGTCGACACCGGTGAAACCCTTGATCTCGCCACGGCGGGCGGCGGCGTACAGACCGCGGCGGTCAGTCTTCTCGCAGTACTCGAGGGGAGTGGCGACATGAACCAGGAAGAACGGTCCAGACTTCTCGATGGCCTCGCGGGCCTGCCGACGAGCCTCCTCGAAGGGAGCGATGGGGGCAGCGATGACGGCAGCGCCGGCCTTGGTCAGCTCAGAGGCGACAAACGCAATGCGAGAGATGTTGAGGTCGCGGTCGTGGCGGGTGAAGCCGAGCTCCTGCGACAGCTCATGGCGGACCGTCTCGCCCAGCAGCATGGACACGGGGCGGCCACCGTCCTGGTTGAAGGTAACCTGGAGGGCGCGGGCAATCTGGTCCTTGCCGCAGTTCTGGTAGCCCGTCAAGAAGACGGTGAAACCCTTGTCGCGGGGAAGGGGGTTCTGCTCGCGCAGCACCTGGACGACCTCGGGGTACGAGAACCAGGCAGGGATCTCCTTCCCGGTCTTGAGCCGGTTGCGGAGCTCGGTACCCGAGATGTTGAGAGTCCTGGTGCCCTCGGGGATCTGGTTGGCGGGCATGTACTCGTCGCGGTCGGGGAGGTAGATCATCTCCTGGAACTCGACCATCTTGATTCCGAGCTCCGCCTGGTGCTCTTGGACGAGGTGCTGGGCGTCGTAAGGACCGTAGTGGTCCTTGCCGTTCTTGTTCTTGCCGGGGCCAGCGTGGTCGCGGCCGACGATGAAGTGGGTGGCACCGTGGTTCTTACGGATCACGGCATGCCAGAGGGCCTCGCGGGGTCCACCCATGCGCATGGCAAGGGGCAGGAGGGCTAGAGCGCCCATGCCGTTGGGGTAGCGGGCCAGGATGGCCTTGTAGACGCGGACGCGGGTGAAGTGGTCAATGTCACCGGGCTTGGTCAAGCCGACGACGGGGTGGATGAGGACGTTGGCCTGCTGGGAGCGGGCGGCGCGGACCGTCAACTCACGGTGAGCACGGTGCATAGGGTTACGGGTCTGGAAAGCGACGACCTTTTCCCAGCCGAGCTTGTTGAAGTGCGAGCGCAGCTCAGAGGGGGTAACTATGGAAGAGCGTCAGTTTTCATTCTACCTCGGCGGTTTCTTGCTTCCTTCTTCTTCTCCTGCTAGATGTGCGAGGCAAACTTACAGCGGAGCTCAAGGAAGTCGTAGTGAGCAGGGCGCTGGGCGGCCTCGAGCTTACCACCGACGTAGTAGTCCTTTGTGCTGCTGAAGAGGTGCTTGACGCCGGGGTGGGTATCGTCGTCACTGCCGAAGACCTTGATAGCCTCGTTGACCCTATGGAGTGTGAGTGAGGGAAGCCGGAGAAAAGATGCAGATAAAAGGGTTGGAAAAAAAAAAAGGAGTCTTTTGCGCGCACGATCGAGAGATGCATTGCGGGCACATGGCAATAACAGGAGGAAAAGCTTACCTGTCGGGCTTGTAGACATCCTCGACAGTGAGGATGGCGAGGGTACGGTCGTCACGGAGGTCACGGAGAGCAATCCTGGCACCAGGCTTGATACCGAGCTCCTCGATCTCCTTCTCGTTCACGTCCAGCGTGATAGGCATGGCAAACAGGGAGCCATCGGCGAGGCGGAGAGTCTCGACGACACTGAAAGATAGATGTCAGCACACTCATGCTGTGATCGGCAGGATGCTGCCGCTCCCCCGCCGCCCCCCCCCCCCCCCCCCCCCTCCTTTCCATTTTGCTCACCCCTCCATCCAGAAGGAGCCCCCCGAGGAGCCAGGAAGGGGGAAGGAACCCCCCCTGGTTACGTAGAATACGTCGGTACGTCGCGCACGTTTGTTCCATGTAAGGGAGGAGGGGAGATATTACGGCGTATTGGTAGTGTTATTAATAGCATATATAATAATGCCATTTTCTACATTTTGCAGGCCTTTCTTCGTGTAGGTGAACATCATTTGCATTGTCCGATTATGACGGTGAGTAAGACGCACAACACACACATACACACGCACACTTCCCGAGGATTGCGAAATCGCAATATTATCGAAGGAAGTCGCGGCCGGCGCAAGTGCAGACGGAAGAAGAAAAAAATTGTCAAGAACGATCCGAATTTGTCTTAGCGCCGGCCGCGTCGCCCGCCCCTCCTTGGCCGTCGTCGTCGTCGTCAGTGTCTGCCCCTCCATGACGAACAAGCGCCTGCACGGTTAAACGGGTGAGAGGAGCAGAGTCTGCGGGTGAGTGATAATATTACGAGTATTACTGGCAGAGCAGCAAATGTACGTACCGGTTTTGATACCTTTTCATAATACCTCCGTGGCCCATGTGCGAGGTATTCATCACCTAGCCCTTAGCAGAATTAGCAGCCGCGGCCTCCCGAGTTTACCTGTAGTGGTACCCGTCGTAGTTGCATGTACAGCGCGAATAGGGTGTCGGTTCTGTACCGCGATGGCGTGCTCCGGTCTCCGACGTTGGTTGCAAGTGTCATGATGCACTGCCCGAGACAGAATCAGCATCCAAGTAACAAAACCGGCGGATCTCGCACGACGTCTCTGTGACGGATTTTGTCATGGCTTTTTACTCTGGAAAAAAAAATTCTCTTCCGGAGGGGAATTACGCCATATTACCAACAATTGCTCAATATCTCCTTCTCTTTGTTTCCATCATACCCCTCCTCCTCATCCTCCTCCTCCCCATATCCCGGTAATCTTCTAAGCCGTACAAGTACGTGCAAAGATGTCGAGAGAAAAAATGACCCTGCAATTCAACGCATTTCTGCAACCCGTCCAAGACGAAATAAAAACGAAATAAAATAAAAATATACATGACATATTACTCGAGACGGGGATCGATGGGGAGACGGAGCAGGGGAATGGATGCCCGTTGTCGGATGGGAATAATACAGACCAACACCTAGTATTGATAGTAGTATCCGTACTGCCTTCACGGAAACTGTACGCACGAGTACGACAACACCAAAGTGCAAACGTCAAGCTTGAATCCGCTCCCCGGCCCCCCTCCCCCTGCTCTGCAACGCCATCCACGCCTCTCTCTCCACCATTCTTGGCACGATTGGCTCACTGCATAGTCATTTGATGGGGTACATGGAGACCCGGTGGGACCCCTTGTACGGACCATGCATGATGAGGAGAGGGAGAGGGAGAGAGAGAAAGGCCAGCACGGACGTGTGTGTGTGTTTGTGCGTCGTCGGTCGGCCTTTGCCCTGTTTGAGGTTGGAGAAACTGGGACAACGCTGACGACGGTCCGGCAAAGCTGGCCATTCTATTAGTATTCTTGCTTGTTTCGAGTCTTTCTGTCGGGAAGAGGGTTGTCGGCTGGTGGTGCACGCGTGTTCGTCTCTATCATGATCATCTTCTTTTTGGTTTCAACTCCTAGTTACTCAACTAGGAAATCCACTTCTCCCCCCCCCCTTGAACTTATCAATACTGTCATGTAGAAGAAGAAAAGGGGGGGGTGAAGGACAGTTGATCAACATGCGATATTCCTGGTTTCCCTCTTTCGATTGGTAGTTCCAGAATGCGGTCAACCCTGGGATATGCAACTGAACAAGTCAGCATCTGCTGTCTCTTTTTTTTCTCTCTCTCTTTCCTTTCTCTTCTCCTTTCCCGCTTTTCTTGGCCCTGTCTCGGATGCCTTCTCTTCTCCTACAATGGTGAGAGGAACAGAAGAGGAAGTAGGATGAGAAGATCAATGGAGTGAGAGATTTGGCGCACCCACTTCGAGGGAAAGGGGACAGCATGATGTTGACCATGATAATACTAGAGTAATATGAACATGGCCCCGTGCTCCTTTTGACGAGATTGCAATGCCTTCCATACATCCTTGCCTTGCGCAATTTTCTTATTCCTACTGAACGGAGAGTACGTACGGAGTAATACAGGTAGTAACAGTACCATACTCGTAGTAGCAATGTCCACCTTTCACGGTCCCGCGGAAACCAGCATCTCGCATCCTCGCTGGCTGCTGATCGGACCATCGGGGAGGTGGGTGGGTTAATCTCCCGGAAGTAACCATATGCAACCTCGTCATGTTTTCCTTGCTAGTATCAAGAGTACGTATCTCTTCCGGTTGCCAATGCTAAGCAACACTACCTAGTACCTGCTTACAATGAACCGTGGGACCATATGTATATCTGGCAATCTGTACTGCATGCGGGTTAGTTGCCATACCAAGCCTCTGTAGAGTAACTACGACTATTAATACTCACTCGTATCTCGTTGTTGTCTATTACTTTGGACTCCTTCAATGAGATACATGTCTGTCCGTTACATGTGAGCACCGCCGACTCTTACCATCCATGGGGCATTGTTATCAACTCTCCAATTTCCCGTCTCCTTCCCACCCTGCGTGACTGCACACCTCCATACTCTGCAATATCACCTTTGACATTAACAGTTAACCAAGAGGGAAGTGATGTGACCGGTCTACGTACGTCGTAACTCATATCAGAAAGAGGCTCAGCGAGTACAGCTTGATTCCACGCACAGCGGGAACTTGTCGGTGTCGTTTACACGTAATGGTGGAAACATAGCCCCGTAGACAGGCAGTACGGGTAAGTTAATGTGGAACAGGATAGAGGTGCTTCTACCTTTTCTGGTCCTTCTACTCTAGATCTTTCCTTCCCCTTGGCTCCCTCGCCACGTATGAGCTAGAAGATGGATACTACCAGTAGTAGACACCACGACCACGCTACGGACCACGGCCGATGACGACGACACGTCTCTCTCTTTTATCTCTTGTTTTCCCGCCATCGGCCCCTCTAGGCGATGCTCTTCTTCTACTACGTAGTCCGTTATTCCTTTCTGTTAAACCTTCTCGACCTACTCCCTCATACTTCCTACGGTCCACGGATCATTGTGGATTCGACAACACCACCACAACGGGGGTCGGGGACACCATCAGCAAGGGAAACGTATTATCATGCACTTAGCCGAGAATCCTCTGGGTTTGTGTGGAAGAGTGAGCTTCTGCATGGGTACACGTAACTGCGAGGGCGGGATAACGTACGTCTACGTACACTGCCTCCACCATCTGGACGGCAACGCGGCACATGACTGTCGAGTACATACATATCAAGGGGTAAAGCAAAGAGCACCAACCCACATTTAGCAACTCTCAGGGGGTAGCAGTATGCGTACTGCTATGCGTATTGGTACTTGCTGATACTGCAAGACCGTCATAAATGGTTAGAAAACATGGGCCAAGGTATAGCTCCCAACACTATTTCGAGATATGTCGCCCAGTCGACTATACATTGCGATCCAAGCCAGGGAACGTCTCAACGTTATAGGAAACATCAATAACAAAGTCAATACACAATCATCTAGTGTCTAACTCCCTCTTTTTCCTTGTTATATGATACCCTTATCAGGCCCCTACCCGATCGTATGAACTCCCCTGAGCCAGACCGTAGCAATAACAAAACAAAAAAAGGCCCAGAGGCGCAAAGAAGAAGAAATAAAATAAAAACCCATGATAGTATACAATTTTTTATAAAAAAAGGAACATGAAGAACTCCCTAACCATACACCGAGTGACCAGGAATACTGTTTTTCTGGGTTTGATTAACATAAACATTTTTGTTTCTCCCCATCAACTTCAGGCGCGTCTCCAGCAACACCATAATGCCTGAAAAGAAAGAAGAGAGAGGAGAAGAGGAAGAAGATCAGGAGAAAAAATGGCGTAGAGGCCGAGGAGGTGGAATGAAGAGGAAGGGTACGGCTCTGCCAGTTGAGACATTACAACAGAGAGATGCGTAGAAAACGTGTGTAAGCGGGGGTAGCTGAGAGCTGAAGCGGCTTGTCTTCTTGGGGGGTTGGGGAGGGTTTCGAAACGAATCGTCGGTTGGAAGGGGGGAGAAGAAGTCTTGTGAAGCGACTTAGCCCCAGACAGCCTCAATCAAGTAGATGAATCCAAAGACGAGGAAAGCGACGGCACCACCGACAGTGACAACCTTGAGGCTGACACGCCCAGCGACGGCCCTGCCGCCGATGACAGCCACGCCGGTGCAGATAGCGTGGCCGACGGCGGCACCGAGAGTCACCCACCAGTAGTCCTGGCCGGCGGCCATGGCGATGGTGGCAATCTGGCTGCGGTCGCCCCACTCGCCGAGAAAGGTCATGACAAAGGTCTGGACCCAGGCTGGACTGAGCAGCAGGGAGCACAGGTTGCCCATGCCCTGGAGCGCGCCGGAGATGGCGTTGGACCCGGCGACCGAGCGGGAGACGGGCGGTGGGGACTGCGAGGGGGAGCGCGGCGGGGACGGGAAGCGGCTCCTGGACCGGGACCTGCGTCCAGCACCGCCGCCTCCTCCTCCGCCGAGACCCATCTCAAGGGCGTACGGATCGGCGCCGCGGCTGTTGTTGCGCCCCAGCTGCTCCTTCTCCTTCTCGGCGAGCTCCTGCTCCACCTCGGTCATCTCCGCCGACACGCCCTCGTTGGGGTCCATCTCTATGCCCTCCTTGAGCAGACGACCGCCAAAGACGAAGAAGAGCGTGGCGGCGAGGAAGCTCGTAAGGCGTCGGGGGATCAGTGCGGGCACCGTGTGGCCCAAGAGTGCCGACAGGACCGTCATGACCAGCAGCGCGCCAAAGGCAGCCGTGAAGACTACCATGCGGTCGTGCTTCATAGCCATCAGCGCCGCTACCAGAAACGTCTTGTCGCCAACCTCGGAGACGAGAATCATGGTGAAGGACAGGACGAAGGAATGAAAGGGCTGGATTATTCCCTCCTCAGCTTCGTCGCTGTGCCCGTGGCCCGTCTTCGACGAGGACGTCGACGTGTCAAGGTGGTCCTTGTTGGCTGAGTCGGGTAGGGGGGGTCGCGATCCCGGTTTACTGGGGAGTCCGTCCGGCTTCTGCAGCATCACTTCTATGTTAACCAATTCCCTATCCAGCTCGCTGTGTCCTTTTCCTCAAGGCTTGTTGTGGGAGTACTCACGTCAAGACCGGTGTACCCCGAGCTCCCGGAGTCGTCGGTCCCATGTGTCGACTTGGACGAGCTGTCTTCCTTGTTGGACGATTGCAGCTTGCGCTCTTCGCTGTGCGGCAGAGGAGGCATCTCCTTAGGCGACTCTGGTTGCGCCTGCAGCCTGCCACCCACCTGGCCCTCGCGAGCCTTGCGTGTCTTGTCCTTCTCCGAGACGCCGCCTGTCGTCCCCGTGGTGCCCTCCTGCGGGCGCTCGCGGTTCTTGTCGAACATGACGCCGTCATTGGTCTCGGGTATCTTCTTGCCGTCCATGACTGTGTAGTCCTCCGGCCGGCCCCTCAGCGGAGGGTGGCTGTCGTCCGAGAGGCTGCTGCTGCCGCTGCCGCTTCCACTTCCACTTCCACTTCCACTGCCGCTGCCGCTGCCGCTGCCACTGCTACCAGAGCCAGAGGCTCCTTCTGTGCCCACAAAGGGACCCAGGTGCGGCTTGCCATCCTTGCCATCAACCGGCGCGTCCTTGGTGGGGCCGCCACGTCGAGCGTTGATATCGACGCCGACGGCCGGCTCAATGGCATCACCAGCGGCCGCTGCCACGTTTGAACGGCTTCCAGTGTCTGGGATGGGATCGCTGAGCGCACCGACAAGCGAAGGCACCAGCAGCAGCAACAAGGGCGACTGCTTTGAACCGAACCTCATTGTTGCGGTTGGTGTGTGTGTGTGTGGTGTATTGACCGGTCGGTCGTGACGCGTAGAAAGAGCAGAAAAAGGATTTAAAGGTTCGAAAGGATGTCGTCGTATGTGCGAAAGCTTGCCTGTCTTGTTTATATTCGGGGGCCGCAATTATGAATAGGTCGACAGCCTTATCGCGTGCCTGGTGTACAGCGGAGGAAAATATAGTTATATGCACCGTAATATGTTGCGGTTGCGAGGGCAGCGAACGGAACTGGGATGGAGAGAGAGCGGCTCGTCCGGCTGGGGATCGTCAACGGTCGGATTCGCAATGCAAAGGGATGAATGGACAATCGCCCTGATCACGCCAAACCAAGAGAGAAGGACGAGAGGGAGAGAGGGAGATGAAATGAGAGAAGGAAAGAAGATGGAAAGGGCAAAGGGCGAAATGATGAGGGTGGTGTTTGGAAAGGGGGGACAAGAAGAATCCTCCTTTGATGCCGTCGTGTACACGTACGTTGGTTTGACGAGGTACAGCAGGGCACAGCCACATGCCACAACAAGGGGTCCTGGGGCTTGAAAGTACGGGTCAGGGGTTATCGCTGGTGCTATGGCTGCTAAAGAGTAGTAATACGAGCCCTCTCTACGGAGTACAGTAGACATAGCCACTAACTACGCGTTCTATTAGTAGTGCTACTGTACTACGGAGTACTTATAGTGATAATCCTCGTTTCCTTTTTTTCCTCCTCAGGAATAGGCGGCATCAGTTAATCTGTGCTGTATGACTATTCATAAAACGCGTTCCGTGGTGATTTACTTCGACACTATCCATGGTCTCCCTGTGTGTCTCTCTCTCTGCCCCCTTGATGAACGTCTCGATAAGTTTGTCCATGCGCCACAGGAGGCTTGTTCTTGGACTGGTCGCTTACTGAGTAGGGCGCTGGGCTCGGGGTTTCTTGCAGCGACCGTTCCGTAGTGGTGCTCAGCTTTTCATCAGGCTGGGATATTGGGTCATGGCTTGGTTCGAGTCGCGGCTTATCACGGACATACAAGTGAGCAGGAGGACACACAAACTGACCATCATGCTGGCATCAGTCATTGTTACAAAGCGATATTATTACCGTGAAGACATTTCGCCCCCTCCCCCCCCCCCCCCCCC